AGGGGGAGAGAGAGCTGAAAGGAACGGGAGAGGGGAGAGAGATAGAGGGTGGAAGTGTACCTTAATGCCGAATTAGTGGTGTTCAGAGGCCAGTGTAACAACAAGCGAGTTCAAAAGTTTTACGTGCGAGGTCCCTTGAAGTAAGAGCTGGGTTTTGGCACCATCTGATAGGTAGAGAATGGGCGGGAGCAAGCGGGCGGAGCGGATGGATGAGGCACCGAGGCTCAGATGGAATTCTCAGCGGGACACAGATTTTTTTTGCACGGGGCACCTTTCCCTCGGGGAAGGGAAAAGATGAGGCACCGAGGCTCAGATGGAATTCTCAGCGGGACACAGATTTTTTTCGCACGGGGCACCTTTCCCTCGGGGAAGGGAAAAATGTCAGCAGAGGGAAAGATGTCAGGGAAGGGAAGGGAAGGGAAGGATGTCAGGGAAGGGTGTCCAGGAAGGGAAAGATGTCCGCCCATGGGTTGTGAGGTGGGACTTTACATAGGGGGGCTTTAGGGTGTGGAAGGGGGGAATGTTTGGGGGAGAAATCAGGGAGGGGGAAGCAGGTAGGATTAGGGTGTGGAAGTGTTTTCTTTTTCCTCTTAAGATAAGAGGAACTCTGCTTATCTTATCTTTGGAGGTCAGAGGAAAGGCAGGCTGCTTCTCAGCAGAGTTTGTAGGTCCCTGTTGGGGAGGGGGGGGGAGCTGCTATTTGGAACCCTAACAGCTCATCCTTTAGCTTCACCCCGGCAGACTCCTTTCAGCGAGTCTACTTAAGTTTCCCACTGGAACCTAAATCCTAATGTGCTTCACACTCTAAATGTTTCCTTTTCTCAATTCAGATCTTTTTCAATTTCTTTTTTTCCACTTATGGCAAGATTACTCCTCCAGGCATCAGTATTTAAAATACTGTAATTATTTTTAAAAAACTTTTTTCATTTATTTATTTTTATTTGTGTGAGTGTTCTGCCCGCACATTTGTAAGAACACCCATTCGCGCAATGCCTCAGGGGTCAGGAGAGGGTGTTGGAACTAGAGTTATGGAAGGGTATTAGCTGTTATGTGGATGCTGGGAAACAAACCACTCTGTTAGAGCTGCCAGTGTTCTTAACCACTGAACCATCTCCCCAGCTCCTGTAGTTATCTTTCAATGACTTCATTCAACAGATTCTTTTGGGTTGGAGTGAATATAAACAGTAGCAGCTTTGATGTTCTTCTTAACTTCTATGTTGCCTATTGTTTTTAGAGTGATGATTATTATTATTGGTCTTTTTGAGGCAGGGTCTCCCTGTAGCCCCAGCTGGCCTGGAACTCACTATGTAGACCAGGCTGGCCTTGAACTCACAGAGATCTGCCTGCCTCAGCCTCCCAAGTGCTGGGATCAAAAACGTGCACCACCACACCCAGCTACCGAGTGAGTATTATTTTTATAATCAAAAATAAATGTATTTCCAGCTTTTAAAAAATGAAGACCAGGTACAATTTTTCTTTGTTTTATTCAGAGAAAACAATAAAATAAAATTTTAGCTATAATTACAGAAATATTAGTAATTACAATATATTGTAATCTTGTCAGTATATAACAATATAAAATATTTGATATATTTTAAATAAATTTCATTTGGTTATAGAGAACATATTAAGTAGTAGTAAGTTATATCTGATACATAGAAAATCTTTGTAAATTAGCAATAAAATTCAAATTTAAACATTTTGAGTACTTTTATAAATAAGTTAATAATGCTTATCTTGCAGAAACAGAGAACTGAAAAATTGGTTGTTTTAGCACACTGTGAAATTCTAAAGTTTGGAGCACCAAATTTAAAAGAAACATTGTTTCTATGAAGTTAACTTTTTAAGATTCTTAATATTAATTATAATCAATTTTTAAGGATACTTTTTATTAGTTTTATTTATGCACATATGTCTGTGTGAGTGGATGGTACCTGCCTGTGGGTGCCCTTGGAAGCCAATCTCATCCCTTGAAGCTGGTCACGGGCAGTTTTGAGCTACCTAACCTGGGGACTGGGAACTGAGTTGGGATCCACTGCAAGAGCAAGTGCTCTTAACTACTGTCAAACTGAATTCGAACTGATGTGCTACCCATAAACACCTGGAAAAGAATGTGTCCCAGCTGTAGTTTAACTAATCAATGCTGGCCCTTAGTGTGACTGAACAACCATTCCTGTACTAGTTTGGAATTGAAGGCATCAAGTATTGTCTTTCCCAGAAGACTGAGACCTAGGGGCAAATGAGGGTCAGTGTTTTGCATTAGCACCAGCCTGGGGGTAAACATAGATCATCCTGAAAGTCACCTGTGAGTTTGGATTGTACAGGAAGCAAAGGTGGAATGATTATTGCCAGTTTCTTTGGGTGTTTGTCTAGAGCAGCTTTTCTTAGTATGTAGAGTGCACCAGAATCATGGGGGAGGCTGAGGCAGAAAAGTTGGGGGCCAGCCTGATCTATATAAGCAAGTTCCATGCTAGCCTGAGCTATATAATGAGACCCCCTGACTCAACAAAACAAAACACAGATTTCTGGTTTCCACCTGAAGTTTCCAATTTTACAGGTCTAGAATGGGCTAGCATTGACATTTATAACTAGTTCCTAGATGATGTAGATGATACCAGTTCAGGGACCACTGACCAACTACTGACCAAGGAGATTAACTTGTCTTCTCCACTGGAGTATAATTCAGACAGTAGGAAGTTTTTAGAACAGAAAAATCTGTCTGATACATCCTCCCTCCCTCCCTCCCTTCCTTCTTTCCTTCCTTCCTTCTTTTTCTTTCTCTTTTTCTCGAGACAAGGCCTTACTATGCAGCCCTGGCTAGCCTGGAACTTGCTGTCAACAGGGTAGTCTGCCTCTGCCTTTAGAGTTCTGGGATTAAGGGCATGTGCCAGCAAAGCAGAAAAGTCTCACTCTTAGATGAAGTAGACACTCTAAAGGAGATGTTGCACATCTTAGTTTGGATGTGAAACAATCTGGGCAGCAGTATAGGAGCAGTGAAGAAGGTTGACTATGCTCTTGGGTCACATTCTGCCTTACAAAGTAGTAGAGACTAGAGCACCAGCCTGAATTTATGTATCAGCACCATCAGTTCCACCTCAGTGGATCAAGAAATGTCTTCAAAGCTTTGCCTCGTGATGCCTGGCATCTAAGATTCATCGAACAATGATACAACTATTTGATTTTTAAAATATTTTTCAGACTTTAGCTTCTGTGGTACCTAAAAGAAATTAGAGATCCTGAATTAGGGGCATAGATTTTTAAAAAATTTTTTTTATTTTATGTATAGGTATGTGTGTCTGAGTATATGTATGTGCAACACATGTATGCAGGTGCCTACAGAGACCAGAAGAGGACATTGGATCCCCTGGAACTAGAGTTATAGGTGGCTGTGAGACCATCCAATGTGGGTGCTGGGAACCAAACCCAGGTCCTCTGGCAGAGCACCAAGTGTTCTTAACTTCTAAGCCATCTCTCCAGCCCTGTAGTTCTTATTTTTAAACCTTTTCTCAGGCCTGCTGAATTGTGATGATGAAATAGGAAAACCGTGATAAAGGAGGGGGAGGGAGGAACCACTCCTGTATGTGAGATTTTGTTTGTTTTTGGTGGTAAGGATTAAACCCTGGGATATTACCTTCTCTGAGATTAAACCAGAAATAAGGTTATAAGCGCTCTCTCTCTCTCTCTCTCTCTCTCTCTCTCTCTCTCTCTTTCCTCCTCAGCACATGTATTGCACATAATCTGGTGCTGAAGAAAATGCTTGTTAGGGTGAGTTAGGTAGACTTGGGAATGTATCCACATACTTTAAAAGCAAGTGTTAAGACATACAGCAGCTGTGAACAATAAAGTTTTACCCAGTGGTCTCATTCCACATGGTCGGTAAGAATATATAACATCAAGAAGTGCTTTCTTTTTCTTTTTTTTTAACAAAGGAAAAATTAGAAAAATAATAAAGGAATAAATCTATAAAACCAAGTAATGAAATGTTTAGAGCAAAGAAGAGAAACGTTCTGAGTCTGATAAACAGTAAATGCCCAACATTGTTTCATGGATTACTGAATACTGTGTCCAGTTATTTACCATCTGCACCAGTATTTACAGGAATGGGATAAAGTTCACATCTAATAAGTAGGGTGTCGTGTGAGCACACTAAACAGGACAAGGAAAGAGACACGGTTCATATTATGTGCTTAACAAGATCCTAGTAAAATGAATTCATTAAGTAATGTTTTACCTACTTTGAATCTGTTGATGCAGTAAAATGAACTCAGTGAACAAGCACACAAAAATCTTCACTGAAATACGAAACAAAACCATACACTGTAGCCAAGACTGCTAGGATTCCCTTCCGGAAATCTCCTTTGGTCTTAACTTTGGGTGTGTTTGGAAGAGTCCTGGAAAGTCAGCAAGCCTCAGTCATCCTGTGTTTGAGGACTTAGGCTCCTCAAGAGGTCTGACTGGGGAGTTCTGTTCATGACATGCCTGTTCTGAATGTCCCAGCGCCTTCTCTATCTGAAGCTAAGGCTTCAGGAAGGAGGTGGAGGGAAACCAGACTCCTTAGAGTGGAAGCAGAGTGAACACGTGCTGGAATCCAGTGGATTCACCCTCTCAGCCTGCAGTTCAAGCTTCCTGTAGTCACTTCATTCAGTTAGTGCTTTGGATATAAAAGGAATGTGATTTCAGTAGCGTTTTGTGGAAAGTTACATTCATTCGGGGTACTCTGAAACCATACATATTTAGAAACTCAAGTCACAGAACTAATTTAAGATAAATGCTTTCTTGTGTAGGGAAAGCAAATTGAAACTTTGTTTTACTAAATCTTCATCGATTCACTAACCGCTGTATGGTTAGAGAGAAATGCACATGCATGTTCTGAGTCATTACTTGTTATTTAAGAAACCCCAGCGGTGCTGTCTCCTTTGGCTTCTTCACTGTCTTTCCTTCATGCACACCTGGCAGCGGCTTATGATGTTTTCTAACGCTCCAGCTTTCACCGTTGATGGAATGGGTTTTCTGAAACAAACATAAATGAAAGAAATCATTGATTTTTATAAAGGGGAATGCTTACTTGGTTTGAATTTTATTAACAAATATCATAGATAGTCTAAGTTTTATTATAAAAACACCCCCTTTATGGAAGAGAAGAATTTCTGAAATGATAAATATATTTGCATGTATAAACATATATCAATATTTTATATGTTTAGTTGTGTTTCAGCCAAACTCTTGAAACGGGCTTTCATACAAACTCACAGATCATTTTTAAAAAGCTTTATTCATTACTTTTACTTTGTGTGCATGAGTGTTCTGCCTGAATGTATGTAAGTGCACCCATGTTTTGCAAAGCCCACAAAGGACAGAAGAGGGTGTCAAATCTCTTAGAACTGAAGTTACAGACCATTGTTAGCCACCACATGGGTGCTGGGAATTGAACCTGGGTCCTCTGAAAGAGCAAACAGTGCTCTTAACCACTGAACCATCTCTCCAGCCCCCAGATCATTTTTTAAATGAAGACTATTCCTACCCTTGAAATAATCATGAACCTCTAATGTACTAAGATTAGCAGAACAGTTAATATTTTTATTCCGTAATTTACTATAAATCTATATATGTTATATCTCATTATGGCAAGAGTCATGTAGACCTTCGGTCATTACTGGTACATTAGTTAGTAACTGTGGCTACTTGTTGTCTTCTGAGTGCTTGTAAACCAGAAGTATCAAGCTAAACAGAATTCTGTTGACAGGAGTGAGGGAGCTCAATGTTAAGTATATCAGCACATGGGCAAAAATTAAAAAGCTAACATAGGCAACCTTTGAACAGATCAACAACTGAGTCATCAGATCAAGCCCAACGTTGACTAGTTACCTGAACATCCTTTCTGGGTTTAATGAAGCCAGCCAGAAACTATAGGAGTTTGAATAGTAGTTGCATGTTCCTCTTCCATGGCATTCGAGAAATGGATTGGCTCGGAATTCCTCTAAGCAGGATCCGGGGGACGCCAGTGCTTGCCCAGCGCCCTCAGAGCCGGCACCAGTGAACTACCACAAGGAAAAGATCTCAATGAAAACACTGTCTGTTGACATTCAGATGTCAATTTTCAACATTCTTGGGGTGGTGGGTAGGGAGCAGCAGTATAAAACAACAGGAAAAATTTCTAGAAAACACAAATTAAGTTTCTTATCCTTTATCCAGATTTGTTGATCCTCCAGGCATCTTCCAGGATGAGGCATAATCATCAAAAAGAGAGTAGCACTGTCACTTCTGCTTGGAATCTACCCCCCGCCTCTGTCTGCCTGTCCCTCTGGTGGGTGCTCATATGTACCTGCTTTCCCTCACTCCTGTTCCTGCCACATACTGTACCATACCTCGGCTTCTCACTCTCAGAGCACCTGTCACCAACTAGACTCATGACTACTACTGTTTTATTTTCTTGCACGCTGTCTGTCTTCATCACTAGGATACCGGCTCCATGAGAGAAGGAACTTGGGCCCCTGGTATCCTTAGTGCCCAAGACAGTCAGGACACATGATAGGTGTTCAATAAATATTTTTGAATTAATTATTGATTGAGTGGCAGCTGGGGGCAAAGGAGAAATAACGTGTCATGAACAAGGCTGTGCAGGGTGTGAATAGTCAGTCACACACAGCTCCAGTCAGCAGTGCCGGTGGCCAGTCCGTAGGCCAAGTTCAGCACGAGTGCTGGGGGGTTTCTTAAAGCGGCTTCTCAGTCTCAGCTTCCTAGGAACAGCCAAGGGACAAGGCACATTGTGTCACTGAACATTCATACTGTGTTCAGAAAAACGACTTCATTTTTATTTATGAAACTGTAGATGCTAAAAAGTATCTCTCCGGATTTGTGAGCATTACAGACAATGTAGATTAAAAACCTGCCACAAAACAAACAAATGGATGATCCATCGCCAGTAAAGAGTGCTGCTACTCACCGAAATGCCATGGTTTAGATTGTGAGAAGTCTTATTTTTTTAAAAAATTTTTAGATTACATTTATTATTTTTGTGTGTGTGTGTGTGTGTGTGTGTGTGTGTGTAGGCACATGTGTGCCACAAGGTCACAACTTGCTGAAGTCAATTATTTTTCCACTATGTGGGTCCTAGGGTCAGGTCATCAGGCTTAGTGGCAAGTGCCTTTACCCACTGAGCCATCTTGCTGGCTCTGAAGTTCATGTTTTTTAGTTTTATTCATTTTATTTTATGTGTTTGTGCGGGGACCTGAGTATATGTATGTATACCATGCATGTGCAGGTGTCCACAGAGGCCAGAAGAGGGGCATTAGGTCCTCTGGAGTTGGAATTACAGACAACTGTGAGTCACATGATGTAGGTGCTGAGACCTGAACTCAGGTCTTCTGCAAGATCAGTAAATGCTTTTAATCACTGAGCCATCTCTCCAGCCCCCAAGGTTAAATTTTTTAAGTGTTCCATTATTTACCAAAAGCAACAAAGTTGTCATTATTTTTTGTTATATTGGTTTTGTTTTCTGAGATAGGGTTTCATGTCACTCAAACTGGCCTCCACTGACTATGTACCTATAGATGACCTTAAACTTCTGATTCTCCTGCCTCTACCGCCAGAGTGCTGGGGCTATCCAGTTATGTGCAGTGCTGGGGACAGAACTCACAGCTTTGTGCATGTTGAAAAAGCTTTCTACTAAATGAGCTACATCACCAGCCCCAAAGTCGTTTTTTAAAGTATATTTTCAAATTGTCAAGACAATGTAAGGTTCTCTTTGTAATCATTACTTTAAATATGCTATTTCTTTTTTCCTTACCATGATGAAAGAAAATCCTTTCCAGAGAGAAACCCAGCCATGGGGACATGGGGGAATGGTCGTGGTTTGGCTGTGGACAGCGATGACCATTGCAGGACCTTCACAGACCGTGCATCTGTGAAATGAAGTCAACACCGTGGCAGCCATTTTCTACTGTTGTGTTTCTAACAAGCTACATGATTTATTTGGTCCCCCACGAAATGAAGGGATCGAACTTTTACCTGCTAATATACGGTTCAAGAGCTTTGCCGGTAATTGGAGCCATGTCGGTTGGCATTGGAGCTGGTGTTGACAGCCAGTATGAATAATCATTTCGAGATGCAAAATTACATACACGATTGACATTACAGAATAAGAATGGCATTGTGGTGAATCGCTGCAGGCAGCTGCCAAGAGTCCCTAATAAAACACGAGGCTGAGTATCACCTCCAGCAAATTAAGCTTATTTTGATATCATTATTTAGATACAGGTTAATTATCACACAACCTGTGGAAAACCCGGACAAAAACTGTACAAAAGAGTTATGTGCAGGATGTGGTATTGAACAGTTTTAGGAATGATAAAAGTTAAAGCCCTACATGATTAAACAAACCCTCCTCCTACCCAGAATACTTCTGACAGCTCTTTCTAATCAGTGTGGATAGAACTTGAAGCCCGAATTCCACTGGAAAAATGTCTTTGCTTCAAAAATGCCCAGATATTCATATCAGCTAATAACCAGATAAAGCTTTAGAAAAGATACTAATCTGGGAATTAAGAAAAGACATGTTTTGAATGAAAGTTATTGGCATTGAGCAGTCTAGCTAGGTTCCTTCTAGCTTTTTACATGACAGTAGTGATTGGTAAATCCAGCAAACAGTCATGTAATTATTCTCTCATATGCACTGGAAGATGCTTAACCTTGCTTACACTGATCTTCAGAGGAAGCACCTCATCCTATAAAACTTTCATAGTCTGTATTACAAAATGACGGGGAACCAGGACTGGAACTTTACCAAGGTCTTGTCCATGGGCACGCTCATTTCCTTGTACGAAAAGAAGAGAAAACCCACTATAGAGTGGCTGTGTCCCTTCTGGACAGGAAGGAGCGGCTGTGGTCTGACTGTGTCGGGTGAAGACAAAGCCTCGCATTCTCGTCTCAGTGGCAGGTGCTCCCATGTCTCCAGGCTTTCCCTTCCGACCTGGCAAGCCATCTAATCCAGGTGGCCCTTTGAAAAAGCAGTTGTAAATGTTCCAACATGACCAGCATCTCAAACTGATACTAATCACATTCAAAGTACTAATTGAATGTGTTTATGTGTCTGGTAACCTCCAAATATGAAACGAATCTTAGGGAACAGGGGCCTATAAAATGACTATGATTGCTCCCTTTAATTATCAAGTAGGATAGGAAATGGGATTAGTAAGCATACTTGGTGTGTCTCTGAAGGTGTTTCTGGTGATGATTAGAGCATGAGAGCCCTGTCCTAATGAAGGGATTAGTTCCTTGATGGATTGGTAAGATGATGGCATAATTAGGAAGTGGTGAGAAGTAGGAGGTGAGGGCTTGTTCTTGGGTGCCATGTCTTGCTTCTGGTATGGCTTTTTCTGTTTCCTGTCTGCCATGCAGTGAGCAGCTCCCTTCCACCACATACCACCCAAGCATAGAGCCAATCATGGACTAAATCCATGAGCCCACATGAAGTTTTTCTAAATTATTTATATCATGTATTTTTGTCACAATGACACAAACATAACTAATACATTGGGTAAATAATAATATTAAATGTTAGCCAGCTTACCACAAGGTGCAACTTTTTATAGATATTTTTTTCAAGTTTTTAAGACCAAGTCTTTTTTTAATAATTGAATTATCTTGGGAGGCTTAACACAGTATCCTGCATTTGGTAGGCCCCATACCTTGTATGAATAAATGAATGGCTTTGCTTTACAGTGTATAATGTATGTGTGTGTGGTGGGGGGGAATCAAACAGCTACATCTTGAAAGGCTGTTGATGTAGATAATAAAAATTACTATGCTTTTAGCAAATTCAGTAAACATGTAAAATACTAGAAGTTCTTTTTAAAGGTATAAACTTTAAGAACATTTGATTCACTAGTAAGGCCAACAAGAAATGACTGTTTTCTGTAACTAGGATGCCTTCTGTTACTTAAGAGTTGAAAACAAAGTAGCCTGTTTTTAACGTAATTAATTTTATGTGTATGAGCGTTTTGCCTGTATATGTAATACCCCATGTGGGTGCAATACCAAAGGTGGTCAGAAGAGGATGTAGGATCCTCTGGAACTGTAGTTACTGATGGTTGTTAGCCACAATGTGGGTGCGGGGTATTGAACCTGGGTCCTCTGCAAGAGCAACAGTGCTCTTAACCACTGAGCCATCTCTCCTGCCCCAATAAAGTGATTTTTATGCTTTGTTTTTTCCCTGCAGTTGGAAAAGTCTAGTTCACATTATCACTTTCTAAGTGAAAACTAGTGAGCTCTCCTTTGTCCTCTTCTCCCTGTCCCTCCTTCTCTTCTTCAGAGTCTCATGTGCTACTTGAAAGGTCCACAGTTTCCATGACCTTGCTAGATAAGAGGCAGACACAGTGTTTGTTTTTCCTGACTTCTGCTTCCATTCACAAAGGGCTATGATTGACTCTCTATTGGTTTGCATCTGAAATGTTTTCCACTGATTCATGCTGTGAATGCTCAGTCCCTTCTTTAGTTTGTGGCACTATTTCTGAGGCTGTGAATCCTTTAGAAGGTGGAGCCTGGCTGGTGGAAATAGTCAGTAGAGGTGGGCCTTTGAAGGTTTTCCTGCCCCTAGTTCTGATCTAGCTTTCTCTGCCTCCTGACCCACCAAGAGACAACAGTCGCCACTGTGTGCTTCTGCCTTCACAGGCTGAGCAGTTCACACTACCATGCCTTTCCCATTTGTGACAGACTGAAATCCCTCTGAAACTGTGAGCTAAAATAAACCTTTCTTCCCTTAAGTTGCTTCTGTCAGATGTTTTTATCACAGGGATGTAAAAAATAATTAATACAGGTTGTAATCAAAAGATGACTTCTGGTCTCTTCACAGCAACTGTAAAATGATTAGCTGAGTAGGGCAGAAAGAAAGTAGAGGAGAATTTTTATGCTAATGTGTGCTATCCAAGACTATCCTATACCTCTAAGAAAAGATCCAAGGCTTAGATCCTTGTATCATTTTTTTTTTTTAAGATAGGGCCTCCTTGTAGCTCCAGCTTCTTTTCTTCTTCTTCCAGATGAACGTTTGGTACCCTGCCTTTGTTCTAATCTGACACACATTACTCTCACAATCATACACCCAAACAAGACTTCATTGGGTATTGAAACAACACTGCTTCAACAAAGGAAGCAAGCTGTGTGTTTACGTGTTTACCTTGCTGTCCTTTAGAGCCTTTGTTACCCCTTTCTCCAACTGGTCCTGGAGTTCCTGGTTTGCCATCTTTGCCTGGTTTACCTCTAGGCCCACAGGGTCCTAGGCAAAAGCATGTCATGGTATGAGGATAAAAGGCCAGGTTGCCTCCCATCCAAGTAAGCTTGGGACATTTGCAGTTTCATCAGTGAAAGCTTTATGTCCCAGGAAGCCCCTGAGTCTTGGACTAACTGGAATGTTTTCTCACACAACTTGTTACCTCTACTTTCCCCCAAAGCCTTGCAAAACTATGAATAGTCACAATTGTGCAGTTGTTTTGATTTATTCTTTTCCAGGATGCAGTATGCCTGTGCACTGATCAAACTGATAATACCTCTCTTGTCTCCCATGTGACTCAGAAAAGTTTAGATAACAGTTCCATTCAGAAGTCTACTATAATATGCCAAGACTATATAAAAGGGTTAGGCTCAATTTCTAAATATCAATATTTTGAAGTAATTTTTTTTCTAATGTGTTGCTATACAGTGTTAGAAAAGTCCAGTTAGGCAATCATTTAGAAATCATGCCCTAAGGCTGACAGTTGTCAGAAGAGGTCAACACAATACCTTTACCTCAGTAAAAAGAAAACACAGTGTCTTAGAGTGTGTTTGCCCTACTTGTACCATGTATAGATCTTTTTAAGAGACTCTAAGCTCTTTTTTCTACAGGCCAAGGGTAAATGAGCTTACACCTAAACTGGCTATAAAAACACACAGCCTCTTATTTTCTGTGCAGTTGTATAATTTGCCTCCATAGCACTTTTACAGTTTTCCTGATACCCTGACCCCAGGTCAATGCTGCTAGCCCCACACCTGGGATTCCTGGCGGCCCTGGTGTTCCAGGATCTCCTTGCATCCCTGGCTGACCAGGTGGGCCAGGTGGCCCTGGGCTTCCCGGAAGGGAGATGATCGTAAGTGTGCCTGGTTTTCCACGTGCACCTATTGACATAAACATAATGATAAAATGGCTTCATGGACTTACCCTTTCTTCATGGAGATCAATAATAGAGAAATATATATTTACCAGGGGGTCCTTTGGGCCCACTTGGTCCTGGGTGTCCAATTGGTCCAAGAAATCCTGGATTACCCTTCTCTCCTTCAAACAAACAAAACAAACAAACACAATTGTTATATTTTAATATTCATAGAGAAATGCTCCTGAAAATTCACTCTTTTAGTTTGAGGAAAAAAGTAGATATTTTAAGTAAATTATAAAGTCCCATTAAAACATATGTTAGTACCTCTTGATGAATTGTTATATTTGGTTGTCGTGGTCATTTACGTTCTTACTTTGTTACTACAGCCATACCAACAGCCCAGTTTGTTATGTCAAGGATGCTATAAGCACGTACAGATTTGTTGATGTAAACTAACAAAGTGCCTAAATTTCTCTTCTAATCATAATCTTCTATACAAATGATAAAAGCTTACTAAGAAAGAGCCATTTATTTGGAGAAAGTCTCTTTTAAAGAGGTGGTTTTTTTTTTGTTGTTTTGTTTTGTTTTTTGGTCTTTTTGAAGCAGGGTCTCCCTGTAGCCCCAGCTGTCCTGGAACTCACTATGTAGACCAGGCTGGCCTTGAACTCACAGAGATCCGCCTGCCTCTGCCTCCCAAGTGCTGGGATTGAAGGCGTGTACCACCATACCCAGCCTTAGAGTTTTATAATCATGTAGACAATACATCTTACTTAAATTATTACTTAAAATATTTTAATACTAAATATTATATTAATAGAAGAACTATATCTGGGCCTAGTGGTACAGGCCTGTAGTCCTAGCACTTGTAAGGCAGAAGCAGAAGGATTAAAAGTTCAAGACTCTGTTTCAAAACACTGAAAAGATAAAGAAATACCGTAAAATAATTATAGTATCAAAGTTTAACTGACAGCTACCCTAGAAATGATCCATTTGGTAGAAAAACTAGAATGTTTGCATAGTATTTACTTATGTACACTGAAAGCAAGCTAAACATTTTGATGATTGAAAGTTTTCCAGATGAAGAAGCAAAATCACATCAGTAGTTCCAGCCACAGGTTTTATTCTGAAATCTCTGAGAGTGACTGAGTATGTTTCACAGAATATATTCAAAAGAATTGAATATATTATAAGAATCTCCACCCCAGCTACCTCTAAATATTTAACCAAAATTTTTTTCTTATATGGAAATTTTATATACATTTTTCAAATTTTAGATTTTTGTAGTCTGAGACTTGGGAAGTGATATTGTTACTAACTTTGCCCAGGGCCACCCACCAGTATTTACCTGCCCAACATTAGTGAGACTCCTCAGAGCCCCTCAGTGTGCTTTATCCAGATCACTGCTCCTTAAAGGGCTGCTGGTTGAAGTATTGAAAGAGACATTTTAAAAGCCCACCCAGTCCCCCTTGAACCTGGAAACAGTATTCCTTCATGGAAATGTGGCTTTGTTCACATCTGATGCAGTTATTTGATTTATCACCTCTACAGGCTTTGGTAAGAGTTTCCTGGCCCTAGGAAACTCCTAGCAGGGGAATGAACAGTTAAATAATGACTCTGACATCAAAACCCTACTTACTCCATCTCATACATCCCTTTCTTTTTCTCTCCTTCCCTTCGTTCATTTTCTTTTCTTTCCTGTCTCTTTTTCTGAGTCAGAGTCTCCTCTGGTAGGCCTGGAATTCACTGTGTGGCGCCGGCTGGCCTTGAACTTGGAGTCATTCTCTTGCTTCTGCCGCGTGATGCTATACTGCATGTGCAGCAGCATCCGGCATTTAACACTAATTTTAAGATTAAGACTTCTGGCGACTTAGATTTCGGTGATAGAGTGTGTGTAGTCTAGCATGTGTGAAGCCTGGGGTTCAATCCCCAGCATTGGAAATACATAATAAATAAGACCCATAAAACACAAGCGCACGAATCTGCACACAGTTCATTTACACGGACTGTCTGTGACTGCTCTTGTTGATTTTTCAGCTTCTTTCTAAATCACAACACTAACAAATAGACGCCTAGAAGCAGGACTGCTATCGGTGTGTACTGGACATCTTAGAACCCTCAGAAGCAACACCTTCAACTGTCTGTTTTTAATTTCCCTACAGTTTCCATCCTTAAGTTGTAGCTTTCATTTTGCCCCCTGGGGTTGGGTGCTAGTGGAGTGCTTGTCTTTACTCCCATTGAGGTCCAGTGTGAACCACCCTGCTGTCTCAGCAAACGTGGTATGCTCTCAGTAGGAGGGGCAACTGGTGTATTTACATGTAAAAGCAATGGCCCAGAAACAGTACCTTTCATGCCTGGAAACCCAGGGAATCCTGGATCACCCCTGAGTCCTGGAAGGCCTGGGGTTCCTGGTGCTCCCTATAGTTTGGATTCAGGGGAGCAGAACCACAGACAAAATTTAAAAACACAATATCATGACAGTTTTCTTTTAAAGAGTTCAAGGATACAACTTTATAAGAATAAGGTGAAATTGACAGTCGTCATTTTTACCCATCTGTTCAATATTCTGCCTGTCTGTAGCTCCTTTGCCCCTACATCTCTTCTTAGGAGTAGCCTTAAAAAAATAATAATAACAAGCCCGAGAACAAACATGCCATCTCATTTAGTGTATATTGCTTAGTGTTGAGTAGATCTAAGTGGAACTGCCCAGCATTTCAGGACCTTTCAAGAAGAACAAGCACCACACTGACAGGGAAAATTATCACCTGTTCGTAATTCTTGCAAAGACAGCAGAGCCGTTGTTGACCCATAGCACCCAAATGTCATTCTGCTAATCTTGCAGAGTTATAAATTACTTCTGGTGAGGGTTGTGGGAGAACTAGGTGTCCAGAGATTTCAAGGGTTGTAGGGGAAGAGGTTTTGATGGGCACATTGACAAGGAAGCTGTGATCTGAGCAGGTAGCAGGTGCGCCCCTTAACTGCTGTTGGAGCTATGAGATTCTGAAGGAAGGTCGTATGAGGAGGGAGCATTAGATTACTTTACTGCCCAAAGGAATTGAGACAGAATGCTGTTACTTGAAAAAAGTGAGCTAAAGATCATGAACATAACAAAGCTTGCCTTTGAACCAGCTGCTTTTGGAGGAAAAAGTCCAAAGAAAGAACAGCCCAACTTCTGGGATGAAGTGGTATGAGGTCAAAGGAAGAGGGAAAGGAAAGAGAGCCTCCTGATCAGGGACTTGCTGGCTCCTGCTAGCTGCCAATTCTCTTGAGCTAAAGGCAACTAAGGAGGGTAGAGAGAGAGAGGTGTTCTATGCAAGGAGAGAGCTGTTAGGGCCAGCCGGGATGCCCATCAAGAAGGATCGTCTTTCCATTGCAGATGACCATAAAGGCAACAGAATGCATTGGGATTCCAATTACAGACCAGACTTTCTACTCCCAGTGTCCCTGAAAGACCTTTAAATGTGATTGTCTCTCTCATTCAAATTTTTAAATAGATTCTAGAAACCAAATAGCAAAAGCCCTGAAAAGAGCTTAACATGATTCCTAATAATAGTCACACACAGTAGCCAGTAGTCACCCCTCGTGAGGGTGTTCGAGGAGGGAAGCAGTGTTAGGTCACAGAGATTCTGTATTTTCATGTGACTCACCAAAACATAGAACTCTCCATCATGTCTGTGGTCATAACAACTGCTACATAGGGGAACTAGGGTGGGTTTAAAGCTTGGTGAGTGGCCAAATCAAAAGTCAACTCATTAAAGGATTAATTCCAACATATAGAAAGAGCTCTGAGCATAGGGAGCTACTTTGTAAATGTTTCTTGAATGAACGAATGATGTACTGTCTTTAAAAAGATTTATCTAGGCGCGCGTGTGTGTGTGTGTGTGTGTGTGTGTGTGTGTGTGTGTGTGTGTGTGTGTGTGTTGCTATGTGCAGTTGAGTGCAGATGCCTGGGGAAAGAAACCAATTATGGGTGGTTATGAGCTGCTTGACATAGGAGCTGGGAACCAAGGTTGGGTCTTCTGGAAGAGCATCAAGTGCTTTTAACCACCAAGCCATCTCTCCACCCTGTACTGCTTCTTAGTCTAGAAAACTAGACCATCACGACTTGGCTTTGCCCAGCCTTCTGTTTTCCTCTTGATGCTCTGTCATTTCCACCTCAGCCTCTAGTTGTGCCCCTCTCACATGTGTGGGGTTTAGGGAGGGCTTGTTTGGTTGGATGGGGGGGGGGGGCTCTGAAAGCTCCTTTCTTCCCAGCCTCCCAGCCTCCACCCCTGCTCCTCCTGCCTTCCTTCCTGCGGTCCCTCAGAACTCCACCCCTCCTCCTATCACACAGTGTGAAAGTGGCCTGTCTCGGTGTCTGCCTTCTTCACCTTGTACTAGGCACCTTCACAGAAGGGACTGCATTGTTATTTTCCTAGCCAGTGAATATTGAGCCATGCCTGTTTATTCAACACCTATTTCTAAGGGACTGAGGAAAACAGAAATGAGCTCTTTAAATGTGCTAATAGAGAACGTGGGAGAGCTGGTGTTGAGGGGAGGCACTCAGAAGTGAGAGATCTCAGGCTGGGAGCCTAGACCAACAAGAACAAGCTGGCATCCCCAAGAGATGAGTGTAAGAGTTCTGCACTGGCATCAAGTAAACATCAACTGCACAAATGAAAAAATGGAGCAAACGTAGTAGCACTTTCTAAGGAAAACGTGAGTGACCTCAGCTGACTGAACCCGGTGTGTGGTCACCTCAGCTGACTGGCCCAAAGGGAATTTGCATTGAATTCCTAAAATGGCAGGAGTGTTCAGGAGGCTGACAAAACTCTTCCTTCCCTTAGTCTGTCTCAGGGAGCTTTGTTCTTATTTCTACTACTGGCTTCATTTTAAAGGGAACTACTGTCAAGCTAGGGCATATTCAGGATAGAAGCAAGGTTGATAGACAATTAAACTAAGAACCAGGTATATATTCGGGTAGGAAATAATAGGGAAGAAATAAAAGCTATATTCAAACACTAGAAGATAAGCAGGGAGGAGAAAAACAGTTCACAGGATAGTAGAGATCATTTTGAAAGCTTACTAGAGGGTAAAAACGACCCTCATTTGGAGGCAGTTGTAAATTACTAGCTATTTCTCCCCACACCACTGGAATTGCTCAGGCTCTAAATAAGCAAGAATCAGGAATGCTGAAGAGATTTGTCTCTATAGACCGAAGAGTTAGACTCATAATCTTTGCAACCCTTAAGATTCTTTGATTTCCTGGGCTCTGTGGGCCCTTGGACACACTGCTCAGATGCATTACAAATAGTGACCTTGTGCTGCCTCTAGGTGTACCTGATCATGACTGTCAGTTCACCAGAGTACAATAGTATTCACATGAATGATGAGCCAATATCAATAGTATCGACAATATACAATATGACTGCAATATAACAAGTCAAAACTGTATTAATAATTTTCCACACTCACCGGATGACCTGGTGGGCCCATGTCTCCTATAGTTCCAGGTAGACCTTCGGGTCCAGGCAGCCCCATAAATCCTTTGTCACCCTTTATGCCTTTTACAAGACTTCCTGGAGGTCCAGGGGAACCTGGCTTACCTGAATTCACAAAGAGCCCATCAGAGTTGCCAGTAAGGAAGCCTGGAGGGTTCTATCATGGATTCTTTGAAATGAAGTATAAATCCTACACCGTGTCATTGCCTCAACATCCTTTCCTGTGTTGCTGTGTGATGGGACTGTGGTAAAGGGGGAGTAAAGTAATGCCAGGGAAGCACCTGGCCCAGCAGGAACTGCCTCTGCTGAGGACTGTCTGCTGAGAAGCATCTGGATGTGATGCGTAGTAGATGCTCAATAAATAGGGCTCTCTTTTAGGATAATCAGTTGTATTTACTAATCTTTCATCCAAGCCATTCTACCCAACACCATCAACAACCTAACTCCACTGCATGTGAGAATGGGGTATGTGGGAAGAATAGAGAAAACCAGAAGCAAAAAACAAACAAAAAACCCTGAAGCCATGGGGTAACATGAAAAAGAGGAAACCTTGCAATGTCAAATGTGACTTTCATTCTGTGTTGTGGAAGGAAACCCTCTACCTGGATTTCCTCTTGAGCCAGGCGGACCTCGGTTTCCTTTTAGGCCGGGGACAATTGCCCCAGGTAGACCTGGTGGTCCTGGGAGTCCTGTGATGCCTGGTGGTCCTCGAGGCCCAACATCTCCCATGGCTCCCTTTCGGCCAGGGAGGCCAGGCCAGCCAGGGGTTCCCCTGTCTCCTTTGGTACCTGCAAAGAAAAAAGCTCAGTAAGTTTCTTTCCCATACCTACAGTTGGGTTTACAATTTGTGGTTACCTTCAGTAATGTAAGCACTTTTCTAGAAATGTTAAAATTCACAATATGTCTTTTAAAGAAGCTGGAGAACAAAAATATAGGTCTGCATTCTTCCTCTGACTTGGTATTGAACTAGGAAAAAGCGTTTCACTATTACAAATCTCTGTTGTATTATTTGTGTGTGTGTGTGTGTGTGTGTGTGTGTGTATTGGTATGTGTGTGTGTGTGTGTGTGTGTGTGTGTGTATAGATGTATATATGAGAGAGAAAACATGGATGCTGTGTGTGTAGAAACCAGAGGTCAACACTGGCCGTCGTCTTCGATCCCTCTCCACCTTAGTTTTTGAAAAAGGGTCTCTCACTGAATGTGGAGCTCACTGATTTGGCTAGGATGCCTGACCAGCAAGTTCCAGGGATCTGCATTTCTCAGCCTCCCCAGTGCTGAGATTACAGATACAACTACTGTATTGCCACCTGAGCCATCTCCCCAACCTCTCTTGTTTAAAAGTGAAAATATACCTGTTCTAGATCAGTTCTTAAAAAAGCACAATATACAAAAAGCACAGTATATGCTCTACCATGTAGATGTAAGCCATAGTTATTATTTTCCTAATTTGACATTATTTATTTACTGATTATTCAGAAGAGTGGAGCAAAGCTGAACTTCATGGCACTAATGTGTGCTTTGGGATTGTTGCTCAACTAGACCCAGACAAGGCTTTAGCCCTGTCTCCTGATTAACTCTTCCCACAGCTGGAAGGCTCGGTTAGCGGGGTAAACATAGCATGGAGTAAGAGAGATCACAACGTAGTAGTGGTTACCGTTTGTCTCAAAAACCGTGCGGATACTGTGTGTTCTCATACCTAGGTGAAAAATGAGGTGCGGACTGAGAATAATGTTCTCTCCCCCTTTCATTCCTCTGCTCTTCTTGAGAGTAAATGGTGTGGACACAGCAGAGAGTGAGGCTGGAGACAGAAGAAAGGTGTGGGTGGGCCGTTATTGGATGGTAGAGACTAGAATGTGATGAAAAATCAGACTGATAATGTTTAAATGTAGGCCTGTGTGTATTCACATCCATTAGTGTTTTAGTGCCTGCCGTTTATGCTTTTTAAATGTTTTATTATTTTTTTATGTGTATGAGTATGTTGCCTGCATGTATGTGAGTGCACCCATGTCATGCAATGCTGTGGAGATCAGAAGAGGGCTTCAGATTCCCCTGGAACTGGAGTTAAGGACAGTTCGTAGCCACCATGTGGATGCTGGGAATTGAACCCAGGTCCTCTGCAAGAGCAGCCAGTGCTCTTAACCGCTGAGCCATCTCTCCAGCCCCCATTTATGCTTTTAAATAAAGTGTCAGTGGATGTCAGCTGGTTTCCAGCTCTGCAGTGCTGTCTTTGTAGTAATGTGAAGCATCTGAGATGACTTGGGTTTTATTACATTCCATGTTCATTAAAATGATTCCTTGTTGGTATTTGGGAGAATAAACTAGTTAAACTAGTTTGTATCAATATACTCTTCATGTTTAGCCGTCCTAGAGGGATTGAGGCAACTGACTGCTTATATAATTGGGCTAGTTATTTTTGAGGCTTTTTTGCCTAAGATATGATTGTTTTTAAGAAAATTTTATTTGCAGTTAAATGCAGATTAGTGCAACTATGTTTTCCTTCCAATGATTTAAGTTTTGTGCTTAGCCTATGTGGTGGTTTGAACAAGAATGTCCCTCATAGGCTCCAAGTATTTGGACATTTTGTCTCCAGTTGGTGGCACTGTTTTGGGAGGTCTTAGAAGGTGTGGCCATGCTGGAGGAAGCACACGTCTCTAGGAGTGGGCTTAGAGAGTTCTTAAGTCTTGTCAGACCTCCAATCACACTCTGCTTCCTGTGCCTGCTTGAAGATGTGAGAGCTTAGCTTCCGCTCCTCCTCCAGCCGCCTCTGCCGCCATGCCTCCCTGCCATGATGGACTCTTGCCCCTTTGGAACTGTAAGCTAAATAAACTCTTCCTTTTATAAGTTCCCTTGGTCATGGTGTTTCTATCATAGCAACAGAAAAGTAACTCATACAGCCTAACAGTATGAGCATAACATTTCTTTTGTGTGCCATTCTAAAAGTAGACATTGAGAGAAGAAAGGCTTGACGAAAGCTCCGGGAGGTGTGGAAACAATGGCAGTCAAATCGTGAGAAGACAAGGGAGGATGCAGCTGCTATCTCCTTTCATAGACCAGTGGTTAAATGAGGCGGCAACCCCAGTCCAATGGTTTCACTGTCAGGCTATCCTTTGCTGGTTCTCATGGCATCAGTAACTATGAATCAAGTGTAATTTCTACTTTGAAATACTGCTGCACTTAGGACACAGGTTAATAAGGGTCACTGAGGTGTGAACACCTTAATATTTTACTTGGTTGCTTTCTCTACAAGATGGAAAATAACTCAGAGTCACTATTGATCTTATTGATCTTAACACTGGTGTGAGAAAGACAAACTTGTAGTCTGTCAAGCAAAAAGTGTGTGTAGATTTGGAGTAACATGCTCACTAAGTTGCCTGCCTGAGGTTGAGAGAGGTACAGGGTAGCCCCTGATAAACCAGCCTGGGGCAGGGCTAGAATCAAGGTGGGATGGGGTGACACTACCACAGTCTCAGAACAACGGGGATGGATGCACAAGACAGCAACTACACCCGCATCCTTTTAAGAGGTAAGACATCAAAATAACCAGCTAGTACCAACAAAAAGAAATGTAAGTTCTTTTTATCTTTAAAACTTTCATAGAAGGAAACCCCAAAGCTGACCTATACTTTTGGATTCATTCCCTTTTGTTGCGATGATAAATATTTGTAATTGAATATTCAGACTGTAAATGTGTTGCCATTGGGATTCTCTCACTTGCTAGGTTAAATTGCTTTATAAGTCAAGCATAGAGAAGTGGATTCTGTTCCTGGAGATGTGTCTTTAGGCCAGGAAGAAGAGTGGCCTACCTGGAACACCAGGGCTCCCTTTGGGGCCTGGATCGGCCCCCAGCAAGCCTGAAAGAAATAAATTTGATATATTAACATCTGTCAAACTTCCTTACATTCTATGTATGTATGAAGTGTATAAAGGAAGTATAGTTACTATACACTTAAGTACTATATTAGAAACCATCAGCTTGATCAGAGAAGACTCATTAAGGCCATGAGGAATTAAAGTGCTCCAAAAAAGTTAGAGGTCAGAGAAAATAAGCAAGGGCTGGTGAGATGGCACAGAGGGTAAGGGCACATGCCGCCAAGACTGATGACCTGAGCTCAATCCCCCAGGACCCACAAGACAGAAGGAGAGAACTAACTCCCGTGGATTATCCTCTAACTTCCTCACATGTGCCATGACACATGCATACCCATACACATGTCCACACAAAATAAATAAATGTAAATAAAAGTAAAGATAATGAGTAACTTTACCTGATTCTCCTTTTTCTCCAGGTGGACCAGGAATTCCATCACATCCTTGGTTACCTCTCATACCCATTGGTCCTGGAGGTCCTGGAAATCCTAGAGGGCCTGAAACAAACAGAAACCAAGAGATAAACCATGCCATTCAGAGAGAGGACCCTTTTCCTTCCAGTGGCCTAATGTGAATGCCATTAGATGTGTGGAAATTTCTCAAAGGTCTTAGTTTTCAGAATTGTAGCTATGTGAAGCTGTATTCACAGCGGATGCCCAGATTAAGAATATTGCAAGGAAGACCACATGGTATTTTATACTGGCAGATACTGCAGTTAGATAGGTAACAGCATCTACCGCACTCTTGTGCATGTTTGTCTGAATGCTGAGTAATTGGACATGCATTCTGTGAGTACAGTGAGCAGAGAGTCTAACCTCAGGGAGAAAGTGTGCTTTCTTCAGGAAAGGGAGCAGAATAAGTCTAAAAATGAAACCTGGATGGCCTGTCATTCCTGGAGGGCCGGGGAAGCCTTTCATGCCTTTGAGCCCCAAGTCACCATCAGGACCCGGCTTTCCTAAGGATGGGGCAGGGAAAGAAACAGAACACCAAGAGAAACGTTACAGCAGCCACTGAGACAGTCAGTTCTTACCTTTGGCTGTGCTCAAGCTGAACATAATGAAACCTGTGGCAGGTCACCACAGACTTCTGTCCTGACTGATGTTTCCCTGGAAAATCACTCAGAGGTGTATTGAATCACCAACCACATAGACCACACAATATTCAACTTACTGCTTAAACTGGGAGTTAACTGCAAATCTATTGAATCCTGGTGTTTGAACAGATAGTTTAAACATTATCTTTACGGAAGACCTGCAGCTCTAACCCAGTAGTTTGGCAGGTGTTTTGTCTTGCTTTGGATTTCCTGTCCAGGGGGCTAGGAATTGAACCTAAGGCCCTGGATGTGCCAGGAAAATGCTGTACCACTGAGCTACAACTCTAGCTGAGGCCATTGTTTTTAATAAGACAAAATGAGAACTTGAGCCCAAATTATAAGCTAATATGAAAGTCATTGTCCAGATCAGAAGTATACCAGGAAAAAAAGGCTTAAAATAGTGTCACACATTGAATTATATTGGCCCCAAAATTTATATATTGAAGTCCTAACTCCCAATATCATGCATTTGGCAATGTGGTTGTTAAAAATTAAACATGAGGTCACCCAACTGGGCCCTAATCCAACATGAGGAGCATCTTTGAGAGCGATCAGGATATAGGCACAGAAGGGTAGATAGAGAGAGCCTTTGCCAAGCTGAGTTTACGCAAGAAGTCAGCTCTACCTGCACCTTGATCTTAGACTTTTGGATTTCAGAACCTCGAGAAAAGTTACTTCTGTTGATTCAGCCGCCCAGTCTGTGGCGTTTGTTATGGAAGCTCAGCTAACTCATTCAAACATAAGCTCACTCACAAAGTGGCCTTTCGTGTCTCCAGGTTGAGTTTGTTGAGGCAGAACTTTGGAAGTTTTGATTACAGAAGCAGGCTTTTAGATTTCAGTCCCCCCAACAGTAAAATTAGGTTCTTGATTCATTCACTGTTTCATAGTGTCTTAGAGTTTAAAGTTCAACGCTGAATAAAACAATTGTGCATACCTATAATTGGCTTTCTGTTTATAAAGGTGGTTCCATAAGGTAAGTGTCAGACCACACATACCGCCTCCATCTTCCAGAACGGTAAAGCCAGGCTCACCTGGGGGACCGGCACTTCCGGGACTCCCAGGGGCTCCCTCGCGTCCAGCAGGCCCTGGCTGTCCAGGTGGACCAGGTGATCCTCTTTCTCCTTTCTTTCCTTTGTCACCTGGCAATCCCGGATCTCCCTTAAATTCAAACACCTTTAAGGTTCTCATATAAGCGGGATATGTGGTTAGGTTTAAGTAAAAACTTTATTCATTTTTCATTCCCTACTAAGTATCTGCCATGGGACAGTACCATGGCAGGGGTGGGGAATCAGTTAGTTGTGGGGTCCAATATGAAATGAAAATCTAGCTCTCTCTCTTTAAAAATAGTGAAAGGGTTTCAGAGAACAACAGTAGAGCATTAAATCAAGATGGGGTCCTGGTTGGCATCGGGCCTTTGTGACCACAGTTCCTACCACTGCTGGCATAAGAAAATACTTGTGACAGCTCACCTCTGGCTTCTGCCCTGGCAGATATTTCCTCCAGAAATTACACAGAAGTACATTGAATCACTGACCACACAGACTGCTCAGTATTCAACTTACTGCTTAAATTGGGAGTTAATTGAAAAGCTACTGAAAAGATAGTCCAAATATCTTTTTATAAGACCTGCAGCTCTAACCCAATAGTTAACAGATGATGCCCACAGCCTGTGCCTTCATGGACTTCAGAGACCAGCATGGAGATAACATCAAATAATCATTCAAGTGGATAATCACAAAAACTGTAGTGATCAACAACGAATAAGAAATAGGCCAAATGGTTATGTGTCCTGCAGATACGCTGCATGAAGACACATATATGCCAATCACATGTTTAAAAAACCTTCAATGATTTGATATTCATCTCATCTGTATTTCAGATTAATGATAGAACATGTAGGTTTGATGGTGACAAAATTTTGATGCGAGTGGATTACAAGATAATACTCTGTTATTATGAATCTCTAACCCAATTACAAACCAACTTGTGTTCAATGCACAGTTTCTGAACTTTTCATCTGATTGTTACCTATGAAAACCCAGAATCTAAATGGTGCTATTAATGAGCTGAACATGATCAAATAAGATTGCTTATTGAGAAAATATTCTCATGAATGGTATGTCCCTGGTTTTCTGAGAAATAAGTTTAAATAGGAAGTGGGAAAATAGTCTGAGCTTCAAGTAATGAAAGCTTGTCATCTTGAGTCTTTTCAGGTTCTAAATTTTTTTCTCTCTTATTTTGACAATTACTACTGTATAAAATGGAAACAATAATAACAGTATTTTTGTTGTGGTTTTGAGACAGGGACTTATTTAGCTTAGGCTAAAGAAAAAGAGGAAATTTTAATAGAAAGTGCTATTCTATTGGCTCAGGAAAAGACAAGATTCCCTAAGCAATAACTGCTGTTTGGAACCATGTATCCTTAAGCATCAGATAAAAATAAATAGGCTCCCTCTACGCTGGGTGTGGTGGCACACACCTTTAATCCCAGCACTCGGGAGGCAGAGACAGGAGGATCTCTGTGAGTTCAAATCCATCCTGGTCTACATAGTGAGTTCCAGGCTGGCTGGGGCTATAGGAAGACCCTGCCTCAAAAAGGCCAAAAAAAGGAAATGTGCGTTCAAAGATTTCATGTTTAATTTCAGGGGATTCCTGGGTCTCTACGGTGCTACAAGTTTCTCTAGGAAGGGCCAGGGTGAATAACCTCTGCTTAGTGGACTTGATATTAGTGGCTATACTGTTCTAGCTCTGGTTCTTAGGGTAAGTGTTGCAGAAGCCAAGGCTTGCAGGAAAAAGCAGGCAAGCCCCACGGAAGCACTGAGTTCCTGCCACAGCTTTGAAAGGCTTTGACATCCGCCCTCAGTCTGACAACATAAGCACTAGGAAAGAACATTGAAGAAGGTAAAAACATTCTGTAATGAAGTACAAGTATCTGAAGTTCTACAACAAGCAGGGCAAATACGTATCTTGGGGTTTTGTTTGCTTTTTGATGGTGCTGCAGCTATTTTATTTCATACATTTTATTATGTCTTAGTAAGACAAAGAGTTTTGAGTATATAATGTAAAAATTCTGTATGAAATAAAGCCTTAGCGAAGACTGGCCAGTTTGTATCCAAAAGAAAGAAACCATGCCTGGTCAGCTGGCACAGGCCTGTCATCACTGCCATCTTCTGAGAGCACGCTTAAACTGCAGGGACAGGGATATTCTTAGTGGCTGAAACAGACTTTCCAAAGCTGAGAACGAGAACCGCTGTTGTGGAAATGGGGGCTTTAATGGTAATGTTCTATTTTTTTTCTACCAACACTGAATCTGGATCTTTCTTGGTATTTTAAGACTCCTGCCTTTGCCAAAGCATGACTGTTTCAGTGAACTATATACCTTTGGTCCTGGTGGTCCTAGCCTTGCACCTTCTGAATGACCTGGCTCTCCCTTATCTCCTTGAGGACCAGGAATCCCTGGTGGGCCTGGTCTTCCAGCTAGACCCAGTGGCCCAAAAATTCCTTTTTTGCCTTTGGGACCTGAAATGAGGAAAGATACCAGGTAAGACAGGTGACCTTTGTGTAAGCCATTGTCCCATTAGAAGACAGATGTTCAGAATCATGAATACCAGGCCATGCAGCGTATGATTATTACACAACATATTTATCTTACTCTCACACGTACTCTAGTTGTGTATAATACCTCTGTCTAAAAGCATAGCTTGTTGTTTGACATGAACTTTCTGGTAAATGAGAAAACCAACCAACCCGCAGCGTAGAAAACCCATCATTTTGGCCTATTGTGTGTGAGCTTGTGGGCTCTTCAGAGGATTACCTGGCACACCCATATTCCCCATGCTTCCCGGCATGCCCCACGGCCCTGGTCCTCCCGGATTTCCATTGCTTCCACGATCTCCTCTAGGGCCTCGAGAAAAAATAGCGTCACAAGACCTGCACAGTGTCTGGGCATTGTGGGTGCTCCATATAGATATAATGCTTGCTTGAGTGCATGAACATGGAATGAGGCTAGCTGGTTGAGATACTTGGATGAACTGTCCTTTTGTGTTCAGCTAGGGCAAGGATGGGACTTAGAATACAGAAAACTAGATAAAGTGAGAGTCCTGTTATTAGGTCTGCATTTCAAACATCAACACCATCCTAGGACCATCAGCGGCAGAACAGGGTGGGCTCCTGTGGCTGACTGCACAGTAATACATTTCTGACAGCATCCTGAAGTTTCCATGTAATTAATTTTTGTTACTGAGGTGGCTGGGGACTAGGAGATGCTCTAATAACTTAAAAACTACTTTGAAAACTCGGTAACTTGTTTAAAAAAGCAAAAATAAAAATGGCTACAACACTAATTTTCTTTAAGTTTTTATTTGAATGACTCACCTTCTTGGCGTCTATCAATCTGAATTTCATTTTTCTTTCCTTTATTGTGTGTGTGTGTGTGTGTGTGTGTGTGTATTGCCTGCGTGTAGGTAAGTGCGCCCGTGTCGTGCAATGCCCACGGAGGTCAGAAGAGGCTGTCAGATCCCCTGGGACTGGAGTTACAGACAGTTGTTAGCTGCCATGTGGGTGCTGGGATTTGAGCCCAGGTCTTCTTTAAGAACAACTAGTGTTCTTAACCATTGAGCCATCTCTCCAGCCCCTACGGCATTAATTTTTGAAAAATATTTTTTATGTGTATGAACTTATTGTCTGCATGTAAGTGCACCCATGTTGTACAGTGCCCACAGAAGTCAGAAGAGGGCATCAGATCCCCTGAAACTGGAGTTACAGATGGTTGTTAGCACCATGTAGCTGCTGGGAACCAAACGTGGGTCCTCTGTAAGAACAGTCAGTGCTCTTAATCACTGAGCCATCTCTCCAGCCCTAGAGTACTAATTTTTATCTTTGATATATGAATTTATTATAATTGTCACTAATAATATCAGTCATTTCAAAACAAAACTTTGAGTATAAAAATGAACCCACGTGTAGGCTATTTTTCAGTTGATACACGCCAGCTACAACACACCTTCATTTCGCCATAATTTAGAACACATTTCTTCTGGCAGAATTTATGTTCAACTCAGTAAGTCTAGAAATAAGTTTTATTACATGCAGATCTAGGTAAGCTTAAACCATGATATTTCTTTTGGAGAGTCATCAATACCTGGAGGGCCTGGTGGCCCAGGTGGTCCTTGGATGCCTTTCAGACCTGGTGTCCCTGGAATGCCCCTGTTTCCCTTTCCACCTGGATTTCCTACAAATCCTACAGTTAAAGACAAGATTTTAAAAATACATGATAGGGAATTAAAGATATAGCTCAGTGGTAAAGTGCATCTCTAAAATGCTTGAGGCCCTGAGTTCCATCCAGCGCTGAAACATTGAAATTGCATCAGATTCACCCACATTCTGGTTTAAATTCATGGGCTACTGCATAATACAGAATCACACATCTTATAAGCGCATAGAGAGGTGTGGGCTTTTTAGAGGCATATTTAATGAGATAAGATGTACAGTGTCTGGCATGAGTCCGTTCTCAGTGAACACCAACAAGTATCATCACAATATGCATTCAAAGGGCATCGAAAGGCTGGGTGTGGTTCAGCAGAACACTCCCTCGCACGTGTGAGGCACTGGGTTTAATCCCCAGTACTTCAAGCAATAACAACAAAGCATTTTAAGACGTAGTAACCTAAATACTTCATTTTTATACTAAAAGATTATATTATGCAATTCTCATATAAATGATTCCATTCTCAATCCATATGTTAAGATTATTATTTATTAGGCATTGGGTGAAGTCAAAGAGCCTATCTAAAAATCATACTGCCAGTCAGTGACAACACTGGAGTTTGTGACAGCACTACATGGCCTGAAAGCTCCCAAACTCCCCAGAGCATTATTCCATTTTCCCTGAAAACTCAGCTTTGATCAATCATTGATGTTCATCGAAACTCTTTTACTGACAGTCAATTACAAACTTCCTTAACTTCATGGAATATTCTACAGTCCGTCCATGGCCTGGCCTTGTGCCTCTTCCTGCTTATACACGTATTTACATACGGGTTGAGTGTCTAATTAACAGACAGGTCTTGTGCTGTGTTCTGGAAACAAAAATAAATCATGCTTCTCTTCCCAAGTTTCCAGTGCTTAATTGAGGAGACAGCCAAGTAAATAATTGCCACCCAGTGAGATGAATTCTGTCACTGAGTTGGGTACAATAGGCTGCACAGAGAAGAATGTCTGGACGGGGGACTGTTTTGCAGCTCATCATCTAAGATCAAATGTAGTTAATTGAGTGGATAAAGCTTTGACCGAGACAGGGTTTCCAGGCCAGAAAATAGCCTGTGTAAAGAGAGGAGGGCAAGAGAAGGTCAGGTTGTTTTGCATCTCTGGCTTTCCCATTTATGTCATTTATCGTGATCAAAGAATATATATTGTTCAGAGTGTGCCTTTGCTGTAGACTGTAGGTCAAATCTGGGCTTCATTTTTGTTTATTTATTTTTAGTTATTATTATTACTACTATTATTATTTGTGTGGGTATGATAATGTCTCTGTGGGCATGAATGTTAGAGGTCAGAGTAAAACTTGGTGCAGTCTTTTGCCTCTTTCTGACTTTATGTGGGTTCCAGGAATGGAGCTCAAGTAGCCAGGCTTGTATACTAAGCACTTTACCCACTGAACCATCTCTCAGGTCCTGACTTGATTTTATATAGCTTGAGAGCTAAGGGTTTTGTTTGTTTATTTGTTTGTTTTTTTTTAAACATTTAAAGGTTTATAAAAACAAAGATAAAAACAAAGTCAAAGAAAAATATGCCCACAAAGAAAATGTATGCCCACAAAGCCTAGAATATTTACTATTTGGCTACATAGTGAGATCCTATCTCAAACTGTTGCTGATGGATCGACATTACAGAGGTCAAGATAATATATTTCCTTTTGCTGTTCTGTCTGTACTTTGCAACTATGTATCAAAAAAGCAAAGCAAAAGGAAACACCTTTAACACATAGTGTACTTTGGTTTAATATACTTTAGAATATTGTTAGAAGCAAAGAAATAGCACACGTGCCTTTATACTTTACAAAAGGAATTATTTCACTTCATATTAATACTGGCTGTGCACTTCGGCCATGAGAGGCCGGTGTTGGCTTATATACACATAGATATGCTTCCTCTTCCTAGTTTTGCCAAAAGTGTTTCCAATGCTTCCCAAATCGTGTAAGCTCCTCTAGTGAGGTGGTGGTGCTCAGTGAGGACTGGAAATTTGTGCATTTTTGTTGTTGTTTGGTGGCTTGGACCAGCCCTTAGAGTTTTATGAAACCCATCTTTCTATTTTCTTGCTGATGGGGTATGGCAGTCTTCTGTTTGCACGACAACTACTCCGCCTCTTCCGCAGCCGGCTAAATGACAGCCACCTGGAAAACTTTTGCTTCCTAGCTTTCCCTTAAGCAAAAGAAATACTACCTATAAACTGATCTTTTAAATGATTAGCTACTTCCAGGCACCTCCTTAGCTTGGTAGGCAGCCCATCAGTCTCATAAAGGATTAGCTATTTCCTCTGTTGGCAAATTGATTGGATTGATCAGATATCCTCAGGACCTTCTCCATCTCTCTGGGAGGGTTATTCAATCTCTCTACCTGGGCTGCAGCACCCTGTGCAGTTTTATTTTATTTTTTTTACATATTCTTGGCCTATAAATCCTTATGCACCAAGCATACTAATATATTTATTAGCATAGTTCTCAAAACACATAAGAAATTTCGGCAGCATGACACAGCGTTGCAACCACGAAACATTTTCCTTTATTCTTTTTCTGCTATGAATGTCCATCTACAAAGGTCCCATTTATCCAGAAATTCTCTTTTCCTAAAATTGCTTGGGATTAAATTTGATAAAGGGAACTAAATTTTGAGCACTGCTTAAATTTGGCTTTAAACTAGTTGCATTAATCTTATGACTAAAACAGCAAAAACCACCTGGATGATTTGCAATAATTTGTATTGACTTGAATTTCAGCCCAGTGGCCACATACTGCAAGTCACCATATTGCTGAAAAGTTCAAGTTCGTATGAACATATTTTCTTCTTATTTTCTACAAATGCCTTTGAACATGAGAAGGTATTTTTGAATGCAATCAGAAAAATCCATCCTGATAGTTAACAGAATAAAGTAGAGTTTGTGGCAGAAATTTACATTTCCACCAAGACTTATTTTTGTTGTTGTTTTGCTTTTTGAGACAAGGCTTTATTGTGTAGCCCAGGCTACCCTCAAACTCACAATTCTCCTGCCTTAGCTTCCTGAATGTTGGGATTACAGGGTTGTTCCTACATTATACCTGGCTCATCATGAAAATTTTAAGGAAAGTAATATTATTTATTTTACTGGTTTATATGAGTCTATTTTCATGTGCCTTCATAATAAACCTGGAGCACATTCCTCTATCTCCCTACGCTATTTCCTATTGGTCTTCTTCGTCCTGTCCACAGTTTCACTTCTAATTTTATTTAATCTACAACATACATGATTTTGTTTATCAATATAAAGTCTACCCACAAATGGAAAACATATGATATTTTCCTGAGAATGACTTAATTCGCTTAATACAACTTTCTCTGGTTGCATCCATTTTCCTGCAAATGACATAAATTTGTTCTTCCATTCCATTGTATATAACACCACATTTTCTTATCCATCCCTCTGTTGATGGATGCCTAAGTTGATACCATAACTTAGGCATTACAAGTATTTGCAATAAACCTGGATATGTAAGTATCTGAAAAATTTTCTAAGGATTTCATATTTCCCATACTTGTCAAAAAGAGGATTTTGATGGCTCAGTGGTTAAGAGCACTGGTTGCTCTTAGAGGACCTGGCTTTGGTTCCCAGCACCCACAGGGCAGCTAACAACCATTCTTAACTACAGTTCCAGGGGATCTGACACCCTCTTCTGATCATGGCACTGCATGTGCGTGATGATGCACTTACATGCATGCAAAACACCCATACAAATAAAATAAAAATAAATAAATTTTAAAAGAGAATCTTAAGGCTCATAATTTTTAAATTGGCTACTATAAATATAGAGTACCAGAATGTAGAATTAACCTAGAATAAAAATGAATGCATTCAACAGCCAAACCAATGTTGTTCAAACTCGGCCCCCACCAGCTGCAGGTGACTAAACAGCTCTCATCTGTCAGTTAAAGAGATATGCCTGAATGGTGTCTCAGTCCCAGATCAGCTGAGTCTAAGCATAAAAAGTTCTTTACCTTTGAGCCCAGGTTCTCCTTTGTCTCCCTTTAAGTTTGCTATTTGGGAAGGCCCCGGGTGCCCTTTCTCTCCTGGTTCACCTTTGGGTCCAGGCCATCCTCTTTCACCCTTCAGTCCCCGAATTCCAGGGCTACCTGACAGACAGGAATAACCACATCCGATCCTTAGCTCCTTAAGCAGTGAGTCAGAATTCAAAAGGTAATAAGAGTGTACAATAAAACAGAACAAAAAAGGTCAACAGTGCTGAGGTAGTTTCTCCAAACACACAGCCACGTAAACAGTGCTTATGTAAGTTTGCAGCGAGAAAGCAGAATCGATTCAGATGGGCAAAGGGAATCAGAAACCAGCAAATTCAAGTACAGTCTTCTCTCAGAATTATTTTTCCTCAAAGAACAAACTGTAATTTATTTTGCCACTAACTAAGTGAACACCATCCCTGCCCCCTGCTACCAGGAAAGACCCCATCACTTACCCCTCTGCCCCTGAGAGCCTGGCTTCCCAGGAGGTCCTGGAGGGCCAGTGGTTCCAGGATAGCCCATCATTCCAACGTCTCCTTTCCTACCTACAGGAACAAATTAACACAAAGTAGCACATGATGTACAGAATGTGAAAGGCAACATATTCCAGAAAATAAAAATAATGTATACTTAGATGTTGGGAGTGGACGGCTTTTGTGTAGGAGATGGGTCAGTAGTGGTCTTTTAAAATTTCATCTGACTGGATGTCAGTAGCAGCAAATCACACTTACAGCTAAGAAAAGAGTGCAGTGAAGCCATGGTGTGTTCTGGTCTCACCTCCTTCCTATATACCTTTCTTTTTTTTTTTTTCACAACACTTGATTGAAGTTAGTTTTTTCTTCTTTGTTTTTAAGTAGCATACAAAACAATGGGGTTCATTATGGCATTCTTTCATATATGCCATTATATTTTTTGTTCTTATTCCTCCTAAACTTGGTTTTAAAATTTTATTTTGTATTGCTTTACTAGTATGACAGAAACAGTTTCATCTATTGATGTGGCTCCAGTGCCAAGAACATGCTGGCACTAGAGCAGCCCAACAATGTGAGCCAATCTCCTCTTGAAGAGACGATCAGGGAGGTCCTTATGTTATGAAGAAACAGGACATTCTCTCCAAATTAGGAACCATAAAAATAACCATAAAGTTTAGAACTTAGGAAGAAATATTATGAACAATTCTATGAAAACAGTGTAGCTAACTTAAATATATGGTCAAATTCCTAGAGCAACACAGACAGAACCAAAACTGACTCAGAGGATACGGAAAATCAAACAGAAATGCACGTGAGGAGACTGAACTGTGAATTCTAAGACTTCCCCAAAGCAGCAGTTCTTTGTAAGCTTTCCTAGAAAAGACACTGGGAGGAAATTCACCTGCCGGCTTGTTCTATACAAGGCCAGCATTGACCTGATACCCAAAAAAGACAGAGGCATCACAAAAAAAGGACTGACTAGTGACCCTTGTGAATACAAATGCAAAAATCTCAATAAAATACCAGCAGGCATCTTATATAAAAACGACTCCAGAGCAAAACCAGCCATATCCCAGGTAAGTATAAAATGTGACTGTCCTGTCACCAGCTCCTCTGCTGCTTGATTCCTGCCTTCTTAGAAATAGTTCAAAAGGAAAAACATACTAGCTAGAAGAAAAGTACAGGCTCAAAAGCCTGTGCCTATACACAGTGCACAGAGCCCCTTCAGGGAAAAATGCAGAAGATAAAGGCACGAAGAAGGTACCTGGTGGCCCCGAGGATCCTGGAGCTCCTGGATAACCCTTTTGGCCAGGTGATCCCATCTCACCTGGATGACCTGGTATTCCTCGTGGTCCAGGTTCTCCAGGGATGCCTGACCTATCCAAGCCTGGGATGCCCGGATCTCCTTTTGGCCCTGTGACACCTTTTCTACCTAAATACAAGCAAACAAATTGAGTAAGTGAATGAATGGATGGATGAAAGAGTGAATTAACAACTGGTTTCCCTACCAATTTCGAAAGCATTTTATGGTTAGATACTTGGCTGTGTGATGTTGGCCACACTTGTCTGTGTATGTTTATTATCCCCCTCTAAAATTTCTCAAATCCCTCTTGCTCTGTTTCAGTGATTCATGAAGAAATAAAAACATGGTGCTTATGTCTATTTCCAAGTCCTGCAGGCACATTCTGGCACTGCCCTTTCTGGCTGTCACTCAGTCTTTCACCTCAGATATAAGAAGCTGCTAATGAAGGTGAGCTGCTGGGTGCTTCTGAAAACACCAGTGCCACTGCAATAATTAAGGTGTTCGTCAAGAACTTATTTGTGAACATGTAGGTTGAACGCTAGCCTGCAGACACTAACAGAGTTCTAAAGAGCTTTTCTCAGGAACAGTTAGTAGTCCTGGTTGAAAGGAGCCAGTAAGAGATAGCAAGTTTCACATTATCTGGAGCTTGTTAAACTGGTAACTTTGTATATTTTCTCTATTTTAATAATTATAAATTTACTATTTTAATATGCTTATGGAAGTTTTCAAAGTAAATACTGATTGAAAGTTTATGTATATGAATAGATATTAATAACATCTCTCTCATCTAATGTGTTTATGGAGTCCATGTTTTCTGACATAAAATGTGCAAACAAACTCACTATATTAAGTTCACCTTTCCTCCTGAATGCACAGTGGTGCATACTGCTGTTTGCAGCAGACCCGTAAGAGCCAGGCTTATATTTCTAAAGTAGCGTGTCTCACTAAGCAGCAGTAAGGACCAGCAGCTAGACAGCCCCATGTTAAATGCAAAGCGCAGGCCAGAGGCCACATCCCCTGCCTCCCTAGCTCCTGGTTAGGCGCCTTCCTCTTACCTGGTTGCCCTTTCAATCCATTTAAGCCTGGAAGCCCTGGGGCTCCCCTAGGTCCCTGTATGCATGTCCCTGGGGGTCCTTTTGCTCCGGGGGGTCCAGGCTGCCCTGGGTCTCCTGCAAAAGACATTCCAAGAGTTTGCTCAGTTGCCAAAACTTTTAAGTTCTAGTATTGCTGCCCCCTCATCTTTCTGTAACTTCACCCCCCTGGTCAGACCTGCATTTAATGCCATCAACATTCTTCTATGCAGGATACTATGAAAAGAGAAAGAAAAAGCCAGGTGTGGTGGAGCATGCCTTTAGTTCCTGCATTCGGGAGGCAGAGGCACGTGGATCTCTGTGGGATGGAGGCCAGCCTGGTCTACATAGAGAGTACCAGGCCAGCTGGGGCTACAGGGAGACCCTGTCTCAAAAAGACTGAAAGAGAGAGAGAGCGAGAGCGAGAGCGAGAGCGAGAGAGAGAGAGAGAGAGAGAGAGAGGCAGGGGGAGAAAGAGAAGAAAGAAGGAAGAGAGAAGGAGGGGAAAGATAGAGCGGCATACTGAACTGCAGAGAGGTTAGGTCTTGCAGAGTCCATTCATTCATTCAAAGTGTGTTGGGGCCTCTAGAGCACCTATGCGCTCAGCTTGCTGCATTTTAGTGTAGCTCACAGTGCAGAAGTGAACACCGTTGCTATTGTACCTCGAGGTCCATCAAGCCCTCCTTTTCCTGGAATTCCAGGGAGGCCTGGAAGCCCAGGGAGGCCAATGTCTCCACTTTCCCCGGGATTGCCTCCTTCTCCTGGAAAACCTGGTTTTCCTGGTTCTCCAGGCCCGGCTCGTGCTGGTTCTCCCTGTAACACAGAAATTATACTAGTTCTCCAATATAATGTTTACCAATTCTCTTTGCTAAGGATGCTCTAAGTCTGTTTGCATAGACACTACAATTCAACCAATTTTTCCCTTTCAACTTTAGTTGCTGACTTTGCTATAAGATTTTGCTGAAGGCCAATTCAGGATGTGCAGGTGCCACATGGTGAGAAGATTGTGTACTTTGAATGTTTATGAAGCCATTAAGGAGGAACCAAACATGCAAGGCTGCCAGTAACACCTTCTATTTTCCTTTCCAAAAACGGAAACAGACCATCCGAAGAAACTTAAAAAACAACCACAACACAACAACAAAACCTAGTATCTTTACCTACAAATACACTGACAGTTTCTAAACCCATCTTGCCTGGTGGGGACATCTCAACTGGCTGATTGAAGTTGCTCCCCCCACCCCATCAGTCTTGAGTTTTAGTCTCTGCAGACCTTAGCTCCTGGGAGGCCTGGGTGTCCAGGAAGGCCAGGCTCTCCCCTTTCTCCAGGACAGCCAGGTGATCCTTTGTTTCCTGGAAAACCTTGATCTCCTACAGAAAAAAACAAAACAGAAGCAAGATACATTGGCTTAGTTGTTTTGAAAAATATGAGCAGTATTTCTTTTACCTTATTGTTGCGAAAGTCAAAAGTGCCTGGAATGTAGAGCATGGCCACCAGGCCAGATACCTCCTAGTGAGGACAGCCGGAAACTGGGCCACTCCATTCTAGATACACTGTCTCTTACCCAACAACCCCCAAGCAAAACTATTAGGCCTCTAATCCTTTAATCTTAACTGGGTCCCTTGTAGATCATGTGACTGGAGGACAGGACAAAGGCAACATAGTCTCAGAAGCTCCCTCCCTCCCCTCACCTGCCTGCCGGCCAGAAACCCAACCCCCCCACACCTCCTTGCCTGCAAAACTTTCCTATATAAACCTCTGCTTCCACCATAATAAACGAGCTGTCTGCTGACACAGTCTCCCAGGGGTGTTTTCTCCCCTCATTCTTGCCACCACCCAAGGCCTCCCTCCCCGCACCATTCTCTCTCCTCGCCCTGACCTTCTGCTGTTCCTGGCAGAAGCAGAGTTCAAGCTGAGGGGAGGCCAGCACTTTATCAAATATTTTTATGAGGCATCCATCTAGATATAGATGTTTGTATGAAAGCTTGGATGATGGTAAAACCAGCTGTTTGCATACTTGTTAGCAGTTAAAAAGAATTGAATTTCAAGTCAATTTATACTGGTTCTCAATTAAAGAAAAATGACTTTTGTCACTCTTGGTTTTTAATATGGCTACAATTCTGATTCAGTAGTTGTTCAAACTGTGTTAGCCATTTGACCAACTTTGTTTTTATTTTTATTTAATTAATTAATTTGAGGGTTTTTTTCTTTTTTCTTTTTTCTTTTTTTTTTTTTTTTTTTTTGAGACAGGGTCTTCCTGTAGTTCCAGCTAGCCTGGAACTCACTAAATACACAAGGCCCGCCTCAATCTCAGAAAACTCTGCCTGCCTCTGCCTCCCAAGTGAGTGCTGGGATTAAAGGTATACACCACCACACCTGGTTTTTTCTTTTTTTTCTTTTTCCCCATTGACCAGACTGTCCTCAAATTCATAGGGATCCAGCTGTCTCTGCCTCCCGAGAGATGGCCCAACATTATTTTTCTAGTCTGCTTTACTCAGTGTTCAGCTAAGTGGGTCTTCATGCACATGTCCATGCAAGCATGAACCAGATCAAGACAGAGTTCTTTCAACACCTCAGGTAGCTTTCTTTACCAAAGGCTGCCCATGAGTATCAAGCCCTAATGCTCTGGAGCACCCATTGTATGGAATGAATTAATTTCTTTTTTGTATTTATAATAGGACAGAGGAGAAAGGAGTCCCACATATCATTTTCTGTGCTATGTGGTATTATGTAAGGGGCAACAGCAGCAAGACAACATTTAGAGAATGCCTTCATACCCCTAATTTGACCAGTGTTGGATCCATGGCTAATTCACAGGATTTTATAGGAGTCATTTGGTCCAGCTCTGAAGCTGTAAGTCTACTTTCAAAGAGCTCTTGGGCCAATTCTGCTCCTTGTGGTTTATGGTATTTGTCCAGAAAGTGAATCCATAGAGTTGCAAAGTTAACATGCAACTTGTTAATGGAGTGTTCAGGAAAGACTAGGCAAAATATGGTCCATATTCATAGGCCTGACATGGTGGCACATGCCTGTAGTCCCAGCACTTGGGAAGCAGAGGCAGGCAGATCTCTGTGAGTTCAAGGCCAGCCTGGTCTACATAGTGAGATCCAGGTCAGGTGGGGCTACAGGAAGACGCTGTTTCAAAAAGACGGAAAAAAAAAGAAAGGGGGCCATTTGGAGGACTAAGAAGAAATCCATGAAGTTGGAGTCAAAGCCATTCTTGAGACCATGTGAGAAACATCATTATATTTTCCTTTACAAATATACATAAATTAAAATCAGCATTCCCTTATTTGGACATAACTAATGTGTAATAATCACTGATTGCTTATTAATTCAAGAGATTAAACACCAAAAAGTGGATTACAGTTTTTAAGATTTATTTTTATTATTTCTAAATTATGTATATGTTTGTCTGTCTTTGTCTCTGACTCCGTCTCTCTCTTTCTCTCTGTGTTTGTATGTGCACATTCATGTGGTTGCTGGTGGTGGAGGCCAGAGGCATCAGATCCCCTGGAGCTGGAGTTATGGGCAGTTGTGATCCACCAGACATGAATACAGGGAATGAAGCTCCAATCCTTTGGAAAAGCAGCAAGTGCTCTTGACCACTGTGCCAACTCTCCAGCCCCCAGTGGATTATTATATTTTAACAAACATTTAAATAATATTGAAACAAACATGAAGTTATCATAAAGCCTGCCTGTAATAGTCTATGGACTGCGTTTCCTTCTATGTCAACCTGACCAAAATTTTCTTTGATATGTTTATTACATGAGTACCAAGTTATTGTTCAATACCAGGATCTGGATATTCTGGAGTATCTCCATTTTGATAAACAAACAAACAAATGTCAGAATATTTTCTTAAAAGAAAGTAACTTCTGTATTTTGAAGTTCATAGGGAAATCAGCTATTCTGTTTTTTTTGTTTTGTTTTGTTTAATACTGGCAGTTGACCCCAGGGCTCATGCATGCTAAACATACTATCACTTCACTCTGTCCCAGCCCTGTTTGAGATTTGAGTTAATTTCTTATTTAAAATGTGTGAAAAGTATATAAATTTAAGAAGTGTAGGTGTAAACAGAAAATCCTCATAGCCAGAAGAAATTGCTATTACCATTTTGGTGCATTTTCTTACAGGTTTTTGTGTGCTTTAAAAAGCATAATAGGAGATGAGATTACATAAGTGTCTGTGAATTCTGTCTTTTCACCCAATATTGCTGTGAGAGTTGAAGATTCCTGGAAAGCATCATTTTAGCGGGGTATCGTGGGTATTTCCTATTTTGTTCTCTATTCATGATTATTGCTTCTCAATGTCTGCACCACATTTTAAAGTGTTTAATTTACCCTTAGGTCCAGGAGGCCCAGGAAATCCAACTCCTGGAATTCCTGGTTCACCATCAGGTCCGGGAAGACCAGGATCACATTTTCCCACAGGTCCAGGTAAGCCTTAAATATATACACACATATACACATACATCAGTAACTTTCCTTCATTTGTTTTTGAAAGAAATCATCTTTATTCTCTGTGTCATTGTAATGCTTTTTTGGAAATTATGCAATAATTTTAATATAACCTCAGCCCTTCTCCCCACTCCTTTCCAGTAGACTAATGGTCAGGAGCTGTGAAGAACCTTTAAAATATAATTCAGTTATTTTAAAAATGTACTTATTTAATGTATATGAATGCTTTGCTTGCATTGCACCACAGGTATGCAATGTCCATGGAGACCAGAAGAGGGCATCAAATCCTCCTGGAACTGGAGTTTCAGAAAGTTGTGAGCCTCCATGTAGGTGCTGAGAGCCAAGCCAAGTCCTCTGCAAGAAGACCCAGTGCTCTCTCTTACTTGCTGACCTATCTCTCCAGCCCTCAGAATACAATGTAATTCTTTAAAAAGATCCTAGATATCTTGAACTATATGCCTTCTTCTATAAATGCAAAATTAAATTTCAGATCATTTTAGCAAAGAAATCAACTTTCAAATGAAGGTGCGATGGAAAATGCCCTGATTAGTCACTGTAACGCTGCGTGCTCTCCTCCCAAATCCATGAAGATCATCACTTTGTTCCTCGACTACTCTGGAGTAATTGTATCCATTCTCTTTTGGAATCTGTATATCAGGAGTCCCCAGGGTGGTAATTTGGGTAACCTCAAAGGACAACAGAAAGTCCCTTGCCAGCTTGTTATCTGAAAGGTTCTCAGCCTGTATGCCCTTTCACAGCCTGCAGATGTTCCCCCCCCCCCCCCGCCGTATGGGGTTGGGCAGTGCTTTCTCAGAAGAGTCAGGGTGCTATCTGAAGTCATGTACTAGAGTGATACTCACCAGGTGGACCTCGGGGGCCAGCATTACCAGGGGGCCCTGGAAGTCCTGGGGGTCCTGGAACTGGTGTTGATATACCGGGTTCTCCTTTAAGACCTTAAGAAAATTTGTGATCATAAGATTGGGTTATATATTTAAGTGGTTTTTTGTTTTGTTTTGTTTTGCTTTTAAATAATAGTGGGAAAACATTATGAGGAAGTTACAAACTTCCAAGAAAAATAGCCCAAGAAAAATATCAATTTCTACTTCAATGGGTTTCAAAACTAGTTTAGGGATTATCAGTCCATAGAAACTTTTCTGATCAGATATTTATAACCATCTGCTATTGTCTAAATCTTGCTTTAGCTAATTCAATAGTTCTAGTGAATGAGAGCCTGTTCCAAAATCTGATAATAGGACTGAAGTTGGTGAATACTGCTAGGTTATTAATGTATTGGATGCTAGTTTTCATGAAAAGATAGCATGGGTCTTGAAAAAATCAGCACGTGTGACTCAGTATACCGGCCTGGGTTTGAGGCTTGGCGCTGTTTGTAAGATCGGTGAGCTTGGGCTCATTTCTTAGCCTCTCTAAGAAGTAATTTATCTGTCACTGTGGAAAAAGCAATTACCCGGCAAATACACATTCAAAGTAATGATCTGAACACGTCGGCCAAAATTAACCCACATTCCTGATTGGTCCCGCCCACCATTTTCTATTGATGGAAAAACCACATATGGTTCACCGTATGTGATGGGAAAATTTTGACAATGAATTTTATGATAATGAGTTTTTTCATTTAGATTCATATTTAGAAAGAATAGCAGAGGTTGGATGATGGATTAGAACAAGAGCCAATAGACCAAATAGAGTAAATAACTGAGGTTTTGTAGTCCCGATCTGTCATAGCTACCTGACTGCCATTGTGCAGGAGTCAGAGACAACACGTCAGTGATGGAGTGTGGCCACATTCCAATCAGCCTTATGTATGGACACTGTAATTTGGTTTCATAAATTTCGGTGTATTGTTAAATTTTTCTTCAATCATTTCAAAATGTAGGAACCATTCTTAGCTCGTGAACCACACAAAGTCAGTTGATGGACTGGTTTTGTACTTTTGAGTCACCAAAGATTGTTAGTCCCCGCATTAGAACAACTTCCAAAGTAAGGTATGGGCAGAAACAAATAAGTAAAATAAACTTCTTATTATATAGATAATAAAAATACATAGAAAAAAGTATGTATTCACTTGATAACATATATGAATATTACAGAGTGGTGCTCAGACATTTGTGTAAGTGATCACCACACTACAACATTTGGAGACCATGATTGAGTCTTACTGTTTAAGGTGATCTTAGGAGTGACAGATGACCGTGGTGGTGTTGCTTTCTGAAAACTCTCAGCAGTATGCGGACTTTACCTCTCATCTCTCTGTCTCAGACAGATAAACAGTAAGGCTGTTTCTTCTGAATTGAGAACTATTTTCAGTATCTGTAGATCCTAAAATCTCCATGGACTTTGAAACTAATATCAGGTCCCTTCATGTACCTTAGATATTTTGAAGTTTTATTTATAAGCTGGAGTCATAGATCAAAAGGAAGATACTTCCTTAGGTCAGTTTCCTGGGTTTTGTCTTGTAATTGATTCCCATTCAACCCACAGGATGGATTTATTCTGTGTATTTGTATCAGTCATGCATAGAGACAATTTAGGAAGTTTCAGCTAAGCTGCCCAATAACAGGAAATGAATGTTCTCTATCACATCTTACATGACTTTTCCCAGTGTCTCTGGGTTGACATATTCTATTTGTCGGGAACAAGTTTACATAAATATTCATTCATCCTGAAGGATCTTTGTTGACTGTGGGAACCATCCACCCACTTCACAAGAAAACAGGACTGGAAAGAAAACTAACCAACCGGCTTCTCCAGGTGGTCCTGGGATTCCAGGAATTCCTTGGCTTCCCTTTGGACCTGGCTCTCCCTGGGGTCCATAGACAGGTAATCCAGCTGGTCCTGCAGGTCCTGGGGGCCCAGGGGAGCCAGAAGCCCCTGGAGGACCCTGGTCCCCCTTCTCACCACTCAGGGCCTATGACAACAGGAACATGTCTGGTAGTGCTTGATTCCAGTTACAGATCAATCTAACCCCAGGTATGAGGCCCAGCAAGGCTGTCTGGGAAACCATGGTCTCAGCAATGCTCTGAGAAAAACTGTCTACTGTGTCACATTATATTATAGTCTGTATAGGAATCGGGAGTGTGTGTGTGTGTGTGTGTGTGTGTAAATGAATCTTAAATTTTCTTACCAATCTCCTAAGATCGCTCCAGGCAGGATTCTTTGTATTGGATAGATCTGATTAGTCACTGGGAGAAGCTGGCATTTGTAGACTAATTTGGGTAAACTTCTCACAGGAGCATTGTGAGAGGCACTGACTCTATGACATTTTTAGTTGAACATCTGAGAAATTCTATCCCACAAAAAGAATCAAGTTTGAAATACCTTAACTAGCTATTTTAAACATTTGATCTCTTTATTTGACTACCATATCCTTAAATATCATGCCTTATATGCATTTCTTCAAAGAATGAAAATAGACCCAGAAATATTTTCCCTTTCTAATCATTTTCCTCTCTCTCTGTCCCTGTCTCTTTCCTTTTGGTACAGGATTAATGCAGCCCAGGCTGGCCTAGAGCTTCCTGTGTAGCTAAGGAAGTTCTGGTCCTCCTGCCCTTAATTCCTCTATTGCTGGGATTAACCAGCATGCCCCAGGAAGCCCAAATTCTGTGTGCCTAAGATCAAAGTCAGGGCTTCCTACATGCCAGGCAACAACTCTACGAAGAGAGCAGCGCCTCAGTCCCATTTTTCTGTGCTTTTCTATAAACTCATTTGGTACGCAGAATGAAATGTAACTTGTGAATGAGACAGAGTCATTATCGGTGTAGAGTTTCAGTTGGGCTAAATCAGTGAGAGCAACCTACTTCATCAAAATACTAATAATATTTGGTTGGGTTGTTACTACTGTTTTGACAATGCCTCATTCTGTAACCAGAATGAAGAACCAAGTGAGTGGCTAAAACCGTCCTTGGAAGTTATCTCCTAAGTTCTGAGCACTTTATCGCAGGGAGGGAAACATAAAAATTGCTAAATACCAACCGGTTCGCCCTTAGGTCCTGGTAATCCTTTCGCTCCCGGAGTTCCAGAAATTCCATCGAAGCCCTTTCTCCCAGGCGGGCCTCTGAGCCCAGGATCACCTGGGTCACCCACTCGGCCCTGGGGTGGAGATGTCTCACCTTTGCTTCCTTTAAGTCCAGGATGCCCCGTATCACCTGGGAACCCCTATGGCGGGACAGAAGAGAGTCTGCCTGCTGTTTTGGTAGAACTGTTCTTGGTCAGACTTAGAAACAGTATCAATAAAGACGTTTTGATTTTAATGAACACAGATTATTTTCTTTAAAACTAGATGGCAACATTTAATATTTTTATGTTGATAGTCACATATAGTTGTATATTTATATGAAATATCCAATATACACATACTATTAAATAAGCATGTTATAGCTTGATTAGTTATTGTAGCAGAGACACACAAAACCACTCTCTAGACAAGGAGATAGCACAGCACTCGTACCGCAGACTGCTCCTCCTCAATTACCAGGTTCTTCATCTGTTCTGGAGTTAAATGCTGGAACACGGATTTTTTTTTTTTTTTAAGCATACATCACTTTTGTAGATGGGAGGGGATTTTTAAAAGTTTTATGTATTTATTTTTTTTTTTATTTTTATGTGTATAAGTGTATTGCCTGCATGTAACACACATGCACCCATGTCATCCAACACCCACAGAGGTCAGAAGAGGGCATCAAATTCCCCTGGAACTGGAGTTATGGATGGCTATTAGCTGCCATGTGGGTGCTGGGATTTGAACATGCATCTCAGAATAATTTGGTTTAGATATAGTTTTTCAAATATAACTTCCTGATTCACCAATAGTCAGTAGACTTAAAAGTATGATTATATATAACAACATAATGACTGATGCTCAGTAATTCTAGCATCTATATTGAGGTATGTTATACAGCATAAACTCATTGTATTAGTACAATTCAATGACATTTTAATACATTTATCATGCTGTGCTGCAGTTCCCACCGCTCCTCCCCTAGCTCTCAAGTCCACAGTCAAAGCCTGTTCCCACACTCCACTCCAGGCAGCGATTATTCTGCTTTCATTCTGCTGTCCTCACTAAAAATAGCATATAGATCAAGAAATTCACTCACTCGCTCATGTAATCAACACCTATCTATGAAGTACCTACCATTTTCTTGAATTAAAACCCTACTGTTTGCCACAAACTGATAACCTAAGTGTATTACACCCATATTTCAAGAGTGCTCAGTTTTCCCAATCGAAGCCAAGGTGTTATGACCATGAACTCTTACTGGAAATCCTGGGAGACCTGAACGTCCTGGGAGCCCCGGGTCTCCCTTCATGCCAGGCGCACCTTGTCCTCCTGCAAAACAATGTATTATCAGCTGTTGGACAGAATAATGCAGTGTATGAAGAAAATAAGGTGTTTCCCTGTGAAGAAAGAGAATTTCTGTAATAAAACATCCATGCCATCCAAGAATGGAAGTAACAACTGCAGTAACAGATCGTGTAGATGAGCACTTAGTCATAGAATTCTCATCCTTAGAATTTTAGACACATATATTTTTTTTTCTGATGGTAAAATACTTTATGTTCGTTGTAAGAAAATTATATTGAAGAGAATAAAAGCCAACTATAAATCTACCTTCAGAAAGATGTTCACTGAATTTTAGCACGTTATATATTTTTATATTCATAAAGTCCTAAGACACATATACAGTTTTGAACTCATACTACACATGTCCATAAATACAGGTATATAGATTCACATCAAATGCTGGAGTAGTGGCCTCTTAGCATTCCTTTAGCTAGCTGCTACATGTAGACGTTCAGGTTGTGTTCTCAGCTCTAGCTGTTATCATTGATGCTAAAATAAGTATCTCTAGATATTTAGTTTTCCAAATTTGTATTTCCTTTATAATTTCTTTTTTTTTGAGATAGGATCTCCCTATGTAGCCCCAGGTGACCTGGAATTCATTATGTAGACCAGGCTGGCCTCGATCTCACAAAGATCTACCTGCGTCTGCCTCCCAGGTACTGGGATTAAAGGTGTGTGCCACCATGCCCGGCTTATACTGAATTCTTCGAACTGTAACTGTGGGGTCAAATGGGTACAGATTCTTAGACTTTGGGTTTTCTTGCTTGTGTCCACAGCTGACACCATTAGTCTCTCTTTTTTATACTGATCTTGTTCTCCCAAAGGATCCTACGTCAATACAAATGTCAGCTGGGCAGTGGGAACATGTACACTTTGCACATCCAGATTGCCAGGTAGACCTTCGGCTCAGCTCTCCTCACAGGCTAGCCCTTGAGGAGAAAGCTGACAGTACAACAACCAGGCAGTGCCAGGACACAGGGCAAGAGCACGGTTCTGCAGGAGAGCGGAGCTCTGAGCTCCAGCTTGCGGGGGGAACATCTGTGTTGCCTTAGGCTTCAGCTTTCTGACTGTCAGATGGATGAATGACAGCACCTGCCTCCAGGGCTGATGTGAGGGGTACAGGAATGGAAACACAAACGACACCCAAGAGCATGCCTTGCACAGTGAGCAGGGGTTCTATAAGGTGAGCTCTTGTTGGGAAGGGGTGAATCATTTGAAGATGATATCTGAAGGCCAGCACTGATGACAGAACCAAAATGGAGTATGGTACCAAGAGAGGCTCAGGATAGCTAGCAGGTGGGGTAGAGGATGCTCAGCAGTAAACAGAGTTTTTTCTACTTCCATGGTTGTGTATATGACCAGCCTTGTGACCAAGGGAGGGGCATCTGACCAGCAGAGGCAGTGTTGGGGAGGAAGTCCTGTTCTGGCACAGAGGTTCCCAAAGGCTGATGAGCCTTGCTTTATTCCAAGGCTTGGATCTTGAATGTCTGCCTAAAGACCTATGTGCTGAAGGGTTGGTCACCAGCCTCTGGCTCTTTTGGGAGGTGGCAGGGCCTTTAGGAAATGGGGTCCAGTGGAAGGAAGTCAGACCACATGGAGATATTTCCTTGAAGGGGTGGCAGGGTCCCAGCTCCTCCTCAGTCTCTTTGCCCTGTCACGGGTCTCATGCTGCCCTTCTCTACCATGTGCTCCTCAGTGATGTACTGAGCTACCACAGGCCCAGAACATCAGTGACAAGTGACTGTGGACTGAACCATTAAAACTGTGAGCCAAAATGAACATTTCCTCCTGGTATGTTGTTTGTTCCAGTGATGGAAACCTGACAAACAGCCAATGAGATGTTTTTCCCTTTCAAACACCGATTTAGTGGCTAATATTAAATTAAAACAGCTTGAGTCTTTAGATAAAGATACTCATGCAAATTTGGAAGATTTATCAACCCAGGGCTTAAAACCCTGCAGAGTACAATAGGCTGGAGCCGAGTGACTGACAGTCCACTGAAATGTGCCCTCAGCTCCTGCAGTGCTTACTATATGGCCCCTAGCATGGAGGACGTGGATGCAAAGTTTTCACTGCACTTGTGTCCTTAAGAAGCAAGTAAATACTGCATATGCCTATGACTTTATCAAAAGTGGGAGCATGAAAAGACCAATAGATAACAGCTGTGTGTTTGGCATGGCCGTTCCGTTGCTTTCTCTGCTGGTCACCTGCAGGGATCTGTGTTTACAGTTCCTGGATGAGAAGATCCTTTGCTAGAGTTCAGCAGCCAAAATGGAACAGGGAAGAAACACCAAGTTCACATGGTTTGGGCTATCTTTATGTTACTACGTAGTATGTGTTGTTGAAACCCTTCCTCTAAGTTCATGATGACATTGCAGCAACCCAATATTTAACTTTCCCTAGAGTTTTTATCTTCTTTCTTTACAAAACTACAAATATTCACGTAAACTATTCATACCTGGGATTCCTTTGAGTCCATCTAACCCTGGCAATCCCGGGAGGCCAGGGGGCCCTGGGATAGAGGGGCACTGTGTGCACAGAAGGCCAGGTTCTCCTGCAGTGGGACAATGCACATGTTACATACAAACCACACAGAATTCTCAGAAAGGACGGGCTACCCTCCATCCACACAAGTACTTATTTATGCACTCAAATGAATCTAGACAACTGTATGATTAATGTTAAAATTTTATGTATGCCATCTGCTTACTTTTTGTTATGAGCTGTATAATTCTGAAAGGAAAAAGTCCAAGAATCTAACATAAACATCTACTGTTTAAGAGTTTCTCTCTTTGTGGCCAGAATAAACTCTCTCTTTAGGGTTAGCCAGCAAGTTTTTTACATGCTAAATGGATGACTGATTTACAGATAAGTGACTACTTCTAGGTAATTAGTTTAGAAAGGAGCCATCCCCTAACTGTTGGGTATCATTCTAGTCTTACAGAGAAAAAAAAATCATTGACAATTGTGATAGGGATGGGCTTTACTATTAGAACAGTACCATGGGTTGAACAAACCTTTGGGCCCATCTACTCCTGGGACTCCTGGAGCTCCTACATCACCGGGAACTCCTGGGTTACCAGGTGGACCCGGTTGAAAAACTATGTCACCTATAAAAAGACACACGAAAGATCATTTTGTCATCTAAGGATGTATCTCAGTGGTTAGAGTGCTTGGCTAGCACACGTGCAATGCATGAGGCCCTGAGTTCAGGCACCAGCTCTGACAAGAAAAATCAAACAACAAAAGACCCTGCCACCAGTACCACCTCCAACACACACACACACACACACACACACACACACACACTCACATACACACACACACACACTCACACTCACACTCACAGTAGTTTTTCCAAATAGCAAATTTTAAATATGTGTATGATTTTATATGCATTGCCCCCATCTTTGTGGTGAAACTGAGTCTTTAGAAGTTTATCTATAACTGGAACGTCAGATGCATGTTGCCTAGCTCTTACAGCTGTGTTTTAATTAATTAATTTATTTATTTATTTTTTGTTATTTGGGTTTTTTTTTTTTTCGTGGGTTTTTTTTTTTTTTTTGGGGTTTTTTTTTTTTTTTGTTTTTTTTTTTTCTTTTTTTTTTTTTTTTTTTTTTTTGGTATTTTTGAGACGGGGTCTCCCTGTAGCCCCAGCTGGGCTGGAACTTACTCTCTGTTTCTTTTCTTTCTTTCTTTCTTTTTTTTTTCTAGGATTATATTATGGGCATGTGCCATCATGCCTGATTTTAGGCGGGTTTGATGTCCTGCTCTTTGAAAGCTCTGTATGTGATATTTTTGTTACATAATCAACCCATGCTATCTTATTCTACAACTACCTTTAGTGTCTTGAGGCAAAGGATCAAAGCTCATTCTGTGACTATCCTCACTCACTGTGTTTTCCTTATGTGTTATTGATGCTTAATTCACACTGAGTAAAGAAACAGATTCTGACACCTGAGTCCTTCAGAGCCTGGGTGCCCTGAGAACCATGTGAACCAACCATGGAAGTGTGTGCACGTGCTGAGGGTGAGCCTGCGGGCTGGCTAGTCCTAGCCAGTGGGCAATCTTTGATTCATGGGAAGTAGGAGCTGGTGGGTAATTCCTTGCCTCTTCTTTCCCTTGGAATGGATTGTTCTGAGACAGGCTGCTTGGAAGACAGTCTCTGAGGGTGAGCAGACAGTTGCACTTGGCCAAGGCCAATTTGACACCCTCCTCTCCTTCCCTGTTCTCTTGCTTGTCCCTGTCTCCCCCCTGCTCTGCTCTCTGAACTCAGGTGAAGACTTGGCCACATTGGCAAAGGCATCATCCCACTGCAGCTTCTTTCACAGATGGTGTGGCTATGGAACTGAAACACCATTGGAAAGATACTCAAGTGACCCACACAGACTAATGGCCACGTAGTGAGGTAAGTGTATCTCTGCTGATTTGCACGCATCTGTCATAGGGCAATGGACACTGAAAGTTCTCCATTTTGCATCTTTACCTGGAGGTCCTGGTGGTCCTGGTAGGCCTGCCTGGCCAGGTGAACCAGGGCATCCTGGGGGTCCAGGAGGCCCTGTGGTATCCTTTCCAGGGGGTCCTTGCTCCCCTTTACTTCCTTTTAAGCCTGGCCATCCAGGGGGTCCTCTGAGTCCAGGCTTTGATGGTCCTTAGAAGAAATCATCAGTTGTGGTATTTTATATTTTCCTCCAATGAATATATGTTTATTTTCAATTGAAAACAGAGAACTACATTCTGATTTACAAAAATTGTATAGTCAGTAGACACACAAAACATGTAAAATAAAAAATGAATATCTTTCCTTCCTTTGTGTCACCTTAAGACAAAGTACAAAAGCCCATTTCAATAAGATAATTCATGTAATGATCACAAAGAGCTAAAACCGAGTTAGAGATGAACTGTAGATTTCATTTAGAAGGGCTCATGAAGGATTCTTCCACATCTGATATTTTGTAGAATTGCTTTATTAGAGACTAGAGGATGCCTCTTTTGCTGCTCCCAAATAAGAAAGAGAGAAAGTTACAATTAAAATCTATCCTGGCCCATTGTCTTCAGTATGAAAACGGATGAGGAAGGCAGGCTTATCTGGGGAGAGACTCCAGCCTAGATGGAACAGACCTGACCCTAATCTAAGACAGTAGTGTTGTGAGAAGGGGGAGTTTCAAACTTTTGCCTTCTGAACAGTTGAAAAATAATTTATCCACCAAAAGAGCTTTAAAACCAGCAAGACTTAATCAATTATGCTGAAGACAAATCCTTCTGATTGCTATCTGCATCTGCAAGGCTTTGGCCTTGCAGTTTTCTGCTCACTAGCTTCTTAAAGGAGGCTGTTCATTACTTAGGTTCCTAGAAAGGAGAAGGAAATCTTCCTGAAATTTTGGCCAGATGTCTAAAATACCCAGCTGTCCACTCTAGCTTCAGGGGCTACCCACTGCTAACATGTACATGCATGAAGGTATATACATGTGTTCATGTATATAATTGGCGTATCAGGCACACAGAATGTGTATCAATTTGTATATCTGTTCATTTTGGTTCCTTCAAAATCAATGTGACAGAGTACTTAGTGATAGCCTTTCCAGTACTTGTCCCTAATGCTATTTTTTCTCTCCCAAAAGGTGAACATTTGAATGACTCACAGATGAAAATGAAAACTTTACAGAGAAAGAATAATCTAGGGATCCTTACAGACCTTGTGTTATATAAAGAAAATGGCTATTTTCAGCCAACCTACGTGCTATGACATCAGTGTTTTCTATCTCTGTGTCTCTTCTGAGTTCTAAGACTTCTTCTCATTCCCAGAATTGCTGTGAAATTCCCTGACAGTCATGTGCTTACACTTAATTAAAACCATAGAGAATTCCTTCATCAATTTGTTTCAACATCTGCTTCCTTTGCCAATGAAGGCCACAAAGATGGCAATTAAGACTTAATAAACTTGTTTGGAACCACAATGGAAATTTGTCTTACATAAATAAACTGAACTTCCAGAATAGTGATTTTTCCTGTTTTAATAGCATTTCTTTTTGTATCCAAAGAAACAAGGACATACCAGGACTTCCAGGAACTCCAGGGGGGCCACTAGGACCTGGGGGACACATCATGACAATTAATTTCTTGCAAAGATAGAAACGCTTCCCTGTCCATGCTTGAACTCTTATATGACAATATCATCATCATCTATTTAATAAGACTTTTCATACTTTTCCGCCCCCCTCACAGGAAAAAAAAAAAAAAAACTAGAAAATGTCACTTCTTTAGACAGCTGGAGAGAAGGAGCTCAAAAGCAAATTGTGCCACCTGATGCACTAAGAGCCTTCTCTGTGTTTGGTATTTTGTTGGAAGTTCACATGCAGGAAACCTGAATGTGGCCAGGATTGTCCAGGGTCTGCATTTGGCTTGGCTTCTCCCTGGAGTAGTTCATATGTAATTACTCAATAGAGCTACAGTTACAGTTTTATATTACATCTTATAGATATAAATGAGATACTTAGGGAATTGTACCAGGTTTTTAAAAAACCTGTATCAGTGTCTATATCTGTCATTTCTCTTAAATACTATGGGAAATTTTATTTCTTTAAGTAAAATTCTCCTTTGCAATCTTAGTCACATCTGCAATTTGTCTAGATCAATGATTCCAGGCCTAGGTGAACATTCGAAAAGCCCCGGGAGTGCTCTGACAGTCTACCAGTGTCCAGGGCTCTCTTCTAGACAATAAAACTGGAATCCCAGCCCAGCAGTGAGACTTTGCTAAGGCCACTAGTCGGCAGCTCCCAGAAAGTCTACTGTGTAACCAGGCTACAGCTATGGCTAGAGAATGTTCAGATCTGTTCAGAGTGACAGAAAATGTGCAAACGTGGCCCAGTCTCATGGTGCACAGGACGGGTCATGGTCCCAAAGTCAGGAAACCAGGGCTCTAGCCCTACCCATCCGTCACTCTTCTGCTGGATTTTCTCATTAAGCTTCTCAGAGTCTGTATCTTATCCTCTAATCCCACTGAGATGGCTGATTTCTTACACTGCCTTCTCACTTCTGTCCACGCTAGTGTTTTCTTGCCAACTAGAACCTCATCCTCCATAATAACCATCTAACTTCTAAGATACATCACTTAGAGAATTTTCATGTAAAATACAAAAACGAGGAAACACCGAAGAATATCTCCACTGATGGGAATTAGGGCTTTCCCGTCCTCCCCTCACCCTAAAAAGGTCAGAGTTCTGTCCTTGAAAGAAAAAACAGAACAATGGTCGGCAAAAGCTTTCGAAAGAAACCATCCTCACCCTGTGGGCCACGAGCTCCTCTGGGCCCAGGTGGGCCTGGCATTCCTTCATCTCCCTTTTCGCAGTATGCATCATAATATTCTGTCTTAAAGAAGAAGGAAATGAATAAAGAGAAAGGATTGCTACTGATGGGCATCCCACAAGCTTCAGTTACTTCATTTTCTTCATTTTGGCCTAAAAGAGGGCTTCCTTATTTACCTGAATTTGTAGGTTTTTATATTAGCAGGAATATGGTAACCATGCTCAAACAAGCAGATAAATTTAAGAAAAAGGTGACCTTTCTGTCATTGTTATATATTTCGTGGGCTTTCAACTAAAATACATTTTATTTTATTATTTTATTTTAATTTTATTTTATTCTTTGTGGTGCTAGGGCTGGAACCCAACACCTGTGCATACAAGCACCCTACCAACTACTGAACTATATATCCTAGTCCTAGAAATACATGTTATGATATGATTCAGTCGCACATTTATATGTATATGTTCACATGCATGTACACATACATTTATATGTGAATATGGAAATTACACTTTTATGAAGTATTGACTTACATTTGGGCATGTGATCAACTGTGGTATTTACTCTTCTGTTCTATTTCACTATCTTAAGATGCTGGTCTCAATGGACCAACTTTCAAAGTGTGGAGGAACCCACATGAATGGCTTCTTCATACTTCGGAAAGCAGGGGCCCTCAAGAATTAAGGCACATTGCTTCTGACAGACTCCTGGTCTCCTTAACTCTACTTCTTTTGAAGTTAGAAGAAGTTGTAGAGATAGGTATAAAAGCCTACATTATAAGACAACAAACAGGAAATGAGGAATACTGAGAATTCCTCTGATAGGTTTTGCATGGAGGTCAGTACATTCCAAAGGAAAGAATATGAAAATATAAAAGCTTATTTTTCAACTCTTGTTTTTGTTATAGTGCATAAGATACTTTGTTGATTTTTTAAAAAAATATTTTATTTTTAATTATGCATGTGAATGTGTGTTTCTCTGTGTGAGTATGTGCATGCGAGTGCAGGGGTCCATAGAAGCCACAGGCGTTGGATCCTCCTGGAGCTGGAATTATAGGCTATTGTGAGCCACCTGATGTGGGTACTGGGAACTGAACTTGGGTCGTCTACAAGAGCAGTAGGTGCTCTTAACCAATGAGCTGCTTCTCCAGCCCCAGACTTTTTTTTTCTTTTAAAGATAAAGAATCTTTGTTTAAGCCTTGAATATAGATCACAACATTATCAGTAATAATGCTACAGTAGTGATTATCATAAAGTCCACAATGTTATATGTGCACCTGCTGGGATTGGACTGTAGGCTACCATGATTTCACAAGTAACCCATTTAATTTTCCTAGCAACTCTATAAAAGCCTTTTAGAGTGACTTGTATCTGAATAAAATAGTTTGCTTTTAATATAAAGATACAGATTTTGGGGACCCAACTTTATTTTCCAAGTTAAGTTACTTATCTTGGGAGTCTGACAATGATACCTCTTTGCCATCCTGGGCCATATTTCCAATCTGCACAATCAGACATAGCAATTCAGCTTGGCACACTTAGTATTAGACCACTGGCTTTGGAGGCATGAGCAGATGCTAGAATTAGAGACAGTGGTCCCTTTCATTCCTCTCTTGAGGACCTGGTATCACAGGATAATGCTAACATGAAATCCCTGTCTGTGTTGGGCAGGGAAGAACTTCCCGGTGCAGTGGAGCTTACATTATGATGACTGGCTTTTGCATTAAAGGCTGTCTCACCCCTAGGTACTTTTGCTGTCTTCAGCAACAGCTTGATTATTCCATTCCTAGAACACAGGATCACCTTGTACAAACTGACTAGACAACTTTTTTCTTCTTCAGAGCTCAAGATGGGCTTTATCAGTGAATTCTAGGGACCAAATGGAATCAAATAGAATATGTATCCACGGTCAAATGGACAAATAGTGAGGGCAACTTTTTTTTTTTTTTTTTGCCCTGGTTTGACAAAAAGGTAAATGTCATAGCTATCACAACACTTAGTGAGAAATGCTAATTCAAAACTTGGTCAATGCTCTGAAGGCCGTAACCAACTCTAACATTGCTGTCATGTCTAGTTCACTTACTGGACCACGAAATCCTGGAGGGCCAGTGTCTCCTTTCCAACCCTGTATTAGAAGACAGTTAAAAATTATGAACACGCAAGCCCAAGTATTTGTCATAGTTAAAAAGCAAAATGTATGGTTGGACAATAAATTAGTACTCAAGGCAGTTAATTTACACAGAATGTGCAAACCAAATTAAAGGGGCATTATCATTAAGCCATCCTCCTACAGAGTCCACATCTGGGTTTGGAGTTCTGTTTACAAGGTTGGGAAGATGTGGTTGTCGCTCTGTTCTCCAGCTTTCTCCTCTACCACCTCACGGGATGATCACACACCCTGCGTGTTCACATTCTCACTCAGATTATAGTTGTAGGATAACCAGGCCAGGGCTGTCATCAATGCCCAGTACACCGAACCTCCTTTGTTTTAAGACGGCATTCCAGAATTCTCCTGAGAATGATATTCTTAAAAGATAAACTCTGAATCTGAAATTTGAATATATCTCTATATGCAAACTATCTGTGAATGTGCACAACAGATAGTATGGAATAGGGTTCACAAATAGTTGATCGTGACCTTTAACTGAGCATGACCAGGCTGAGGTTCAAGGGCCCAGCCTGTACTCGGCCTCAAATGACCAGGAACTTCCTGCCACTGCAGGCCTTTCCCAATCCCTTCTACAAAAGGAACTGGGCCTTTACTAGAGGGTCCTGAGCAGACATTCAACTTCAACTACACAGAACTGTACTATCTATTCCTCAAGAATATCTTTCGAATGTTAACCTCTCCTTTCACTTTAGCAAATACGCTTAGCACCTAAGATTGTTTTTGGTCCTAAAGCAGTTTATCATTTCACTCTCCAGCATTCAAGGAAATGTGATCTACAAAAAAATGGATTACAAAGACTTTTACTTCTTTACAAACCACTGTCAGTTATCAATGAAATAAATTTACATTATTCCAAAGAAAAATCTCCATCTTTAACACGAGGATGAAATGGCTTTCCAAATATACAGCATCATGATAACCAACACTGTTAGAGGAAGAGCAGAGGAAGGATCTACGAGAAATAGTCTTTTTCCATAGAACTCAGAATGTTTTGTCACTGTTAGTAGTTCTTACTTCACTTATTTATCAAATCGTCACCAAAACTCGAGAGAAACACTGTCAAAAAGCAATACATACGAGCCAGAGAGATGGAGCAGTGGGTAAAGCTGTTTGCCACCAAGCCTGATGGTCCCGTTCGGGTCCCCAAACTGTGGAAGGAGCAAACCGGCTCCTCCAAGTTGTTCTCTGACCTCCACATTGTGCTATGACACGTGTGCTGCCCCTCTCCAATAATAAATTAAAATGTAATCAAAAGCAATACAAGAAGAAATCTAAAGGAAATTGAAATTTGGAAAGCCAGGCTGGAATGAGTCTTCATACCACAAATGTGTGAGATCATGGATTACTTAATCTACTCTTCACTCCCTCAAGTGATCTGTTAGAACTTGGTGAGGAATGAAAGAGTGTGAGCAAAAAGCCTGCCACATAGTTAGCATTCCACACAAGACAACCAGTAAAATGGGAATCATACCCATTTCCCAGTAGTGATTGTGGGATCAAGCAGGAATATCTGCAAAGCATACATGTTGGATCTGAAGTGGTTAGTAGCAATCACACAATATGCACAGAAATCACAGAAGACAAACTAAAGCAATTCATTGCAAATAACATCAGCTAAGGTATTTTAATGACGTTTGTGGTTGCAATTCCTTGTTCCTATAAAGGTAGACAATGCCTGACCATTTGAAGACAGCTGAAGAAGGGATGTTAGGGAGAGGGTTACCTTAATGCCATCTTCACCCATTAACCCGGGGAGGCCCCTGCTGCCCTTGGCTCCCTAGAGAAAAGACCAAAGGAGAGTAGGTCAGAAGACAGGAATCAGCCGCTTTGTATGAAACAGTTGTATGTGCAGTCTGGACTCTCAATTTTTAAAAAATGAGATTTATTTTTTAAAATTGATACATATAGTTGTACAATGCATGGTGTACAATGCGATGTTTCAAGAATCACATTAATTGTGATATATGCAATCACACTGTGTACATTAGATTGTGTGCTTTGTGTGTTGATCAGCTCAGGTAACTAGCGTATCTATCACAGAAACTGTTTATCATTCCTTTATGATGGGATATTAAAAAAAACCTCTCAGCTATCTCAAGTGGACAATACATCATTGTTGATTATAGTTACCTTATTGTGAAACTGTTCCTCTAAGTAAATGTAACTTTATACCCACTGACCAACCTGTCTGTCTCTTCAACTCACACCATCCTCTAGAACCTATTCTTTACTTTGAAGAGATCAGCTTCTCTAGCTGTCACATCTGAGGAGATGGGACAGTATTGGTCTGGGTTTGGCTTATTGTATTAATATACTGTTCAGTGTGCTTAGCTGACCTCTCCTCACAGTGAACATGTATAAAATTATGATTTGTGGAACTGGAGAGATGGCTTAGCAGTTAAGAACCCTGGCTGCTTTTGCAGAGGACCTAGGTTCAGTTCCCAGCACCACATGACTGCTAACAACCATCTGTAACTCCAGTCCAGGGGAGCCGACGGCCTCTTCTGGCTTCTACAGGCATTGCATGATATGGGCGCACTTACATACATGCAGGCAAAATACTCATACACAAAAAATAAAAATAAATAAATTAAAATTTAAATTCTCAAATGCCATCTTAAAACCTATAACTACTTGGTGACTCTCAAAAAGACAAAAACAAAAACAAAACCCTTCATTCAGTATCACCATTATTTTCACTATGTCAATGGGCATGTCTTTACCTCAGTGCCAGGGAAGCCAGGAGCACCATCTTTCCCAGGTTTTCCCTAAAACAAACAGACAAAAAACTGTTAAGTTAACAAACATGTTAACTTTAGTAAAGATGGAAAAGTTATATGGTACAGTCACCTCTGGACCTCAAGCAAGAGTGCCTGAGTTCCACACTATCTGGTTTTATAAGGAAAAATTCCTCATCGTTGAATAGGCAAAGACCATCTCTTGCCAGGGAAGGTGGGGGCCAGGTAGGATCAGAGATTGCAGTCAAAAGAAGGAAGAAGGGAAGTTAATAGCTAAACCTTGAGTTGCTCTCATGTCACCATCCTATGCCTGATGAATGGAGAGAAGTAGAAGTGAGGGGGAGAGAACTCTGCAGCTCCAGGCTCTGAAATCCTTGGAACTTGTTTTATTCTTGAACTTCTCTATTACCTGGTGAAACAAATCTCACCTACCAAATCTTAAAGACAATTTCTTTGACCCCAGCTAGTTGGAGAACCTCACTCTGTAACCCAAAGAGTCCTAATCCCTGCCTCCCTCCGACTATACGTGGTGCTGAATTTCCACCTTACCGGGGGGCCACGTTCACCAGGTGCACCCTTTTCTGATCCATATGAGTCCCCAGGTCGTCCCTGTATGGTTAGAGTTATTTAGAAATGATTTAGTTTGACTTAACACTGATTTTAAAAAATTAATTTGTCTCTTCTACTGGCCATATTTAAAATTAAATCATCTAAAAGATGATTCTTCTTTATGAACATTAGTTTTAAAACAGATATTCAGAAGCAAGTGTGAAAGACAAATCAGGCCTATAAAAATAATACAAGCTTTTCACCTAAAACTGGACATAAAATAATTCTAGCATATTCTTGAGCTGTGTATTTTAGCTAATATCAAGATTTAAAGGTTGAGAATTCATCAAAATAGTATGAAGACTGCAAGTGGATTAGTTGGATAGTTTTAAAAAAGGAATAGGACATGAAGGTGGGAGGGGGCATGTTGAGGGAGTGGTGGGAATGGGAGGGGGTGTTGGAGGGGTGGGTATGCTCAAGATACATTGTAGGCATGTATGAGACTGTAAAGAATAAATGCAATGAATTCATAAGAAACATGTACAAAGATTCTCTTTTATGTGTTGTGAGAACAAGACAACTCTAAGTGACTTACTGGGGGCCCAGGAGGTCCAGGTTCACCCATGTCTCCCTTATCTCCCTTCTCCCCCTTGAGGTCCTGTTATAAAACAGTTTAAGGTCATTATCACAAACCAGATTATAACAGTTACACTTGGAAATGGCCCCCACCCCCACCCTGCCTCATGATAACAGCCCCAAAGTTCCTCCTGTTTCTCAATTTTCAAGTTTTATACATGAGATTGATAAAACTATGTACAAACTTCTAAAAAAGGTATCATTTGGGTCAAATTACATTAAACTAGCTTAATTACCAAACCAGCTCTCCATAGGCACATTCATTTCTAACACATTAAAATTACTTTTGTTTTTGAACCAATACTTTTCTGTGCAAATG